ACACACACGCACACACATTTATATATAATCATGCAACTTGTTAAATTACAGATATAGTATAAACGATAAGCAAATATAAAATATGAATAAAGATTAATAGCTAAAAACAAGCACTTAAAATAACGAACTTGTTTCTTATTCTCTCATTGTATTTTTTCTATGCACTAGAAATTTTTGTAAAACATTTTTAAAGAAATATTAAAAAAGGAATTTTAATAGGAAAAGAATTTTTGATAGGATTCCAGAAAAGATGAAAAGAGAATGTTATTGTACAAGATTGTAAGGGCAAAAACAGCTTTTTTGTATCCCATAATACCGTGTTTAACTGCGACTGTGTTCCAAAAAAGATTTAAATTTAGATTCAGTACAATAACAATTATAAAGTCAAAACGGATGTTAGCAGATACTAATAAAATCAGAATTGCAGCCAAAGGAGCAATATTAGACTCACCAGTCAATATTCCCACAGGACTTATATTACATTCTAAAGTTGGTACTCATAGCTGTAAATTATTTACGATCTTTGATTGCAAGCGTAATTAATTACAAATCTGCATTCATAGGTTGGATCAGTATTTCTTGTTGTATGTAATAAATACAGATACAAGTCGACGGGATAATCGGAGATTTGCAATTATTCGTTAAATGTTGACGAACGTCGGTCTAAATTTCGACTCAGAATATCCCTTTATTCCGGATAAGTTTGTTAATTGAAATCAAAATATCGTATGTGATGAGGTGACTCGATGCTAACTAACCTGAAATGCATAATGTACAGTTGCTTACGTTTCGGCGTCGTGTGTTCTCCGTCTTGGCTTTCCGAGCCGGACGACTTGCTCCCGGGTGCTGTTGTGATAATCCGAGCTCGTGGCACTGGCGCAGTGGCACTCATGTAAATATTATTCGATTGGAGAAACGCGTATTACTAACTACTACTACAACGCCACCAAGGATTCGATTCAATATTTTAAGTGATAGCTAACGTAACGATATACGCGCTCCGCAACATGTACACGACATACGCATTGCCCATCAACTCGAGACGTAATGGCTCGGTCACGTACACACAGTGCACAACTTACCAAAACAACGTAAACAATAAAGAGGATTACACACAGAGCTATGTATTTCGCGCCAATCGCCAACCGTCGTCGTCCGCCATTGAAGACCTGTTCCGAAATCGGTTTCGGAAACTTTGGTTTTAGTTACTATATGGCTGGTAGGCTTTAAATCAACTTAGATATGTTCTTGATAATTGATCAATCAGATGATCAATTATTAAGATAATAAAAAAAATCTACTCCTTTCTTTAAGTAATATTACAAAATTAGTGACTAAAACCAAGTTTGTAAACAGAAATAGTATACGTCCTGTGGACGTCCAAGCGTGATCAGCTGATCAATTACGGAACGTATCCAAATTAGTTTAAGGTCTACCAACCTAACCTTACAATTAAGACCGAAGTTTCCGAAATCAATTTCGGAACAGACTTGGAATGCCCGAATGCGAACACGACAATCGATGATCTTCAAATATTTCCTAACGTCCTAGACTCTGCGTTTCGTTTTAGAGATTATTGTTATTGTGCCGATTCTAAATTTAATACTTCTATCATCAACGTCACATATGTGTGACGGCGCAATGATTTTTGCGTATTTTACACAATTACACGAAAAGAAATACGAAGTAGAGGAGAATATCTACGAAGCTTCCCAAATCAACTCTTATCTTGCGGACCGTCGCAAATTATTGCTGCGTGAACACACAACTGCTATCATTACCTTTAAAATTCTCTCCTTTCTACTCCTTTTGAATCCTCACATGCTATCAAAGTTTCAAACGTCAGTAAGTAGACTATGTAACCCACGTCACTTACCTACCTATTAGAGATGTGCGAACTATTCGAATCTGAACCCCTATGATTCGAATCCGAATAATTCAAATAGGAATCAAATATATTATCATTTGCGTGCATCAGCTACAAACCGGGCCATCTGGACCTGTATGTTTGAACCCTTAACTTGTAATTAACTTAATTTATAATTAATAACTTAATTATAAATTACTTTAAATATTTAAATATATATTTCGCTTTTGAGATGATATTACAATGTCAATATTCCCTTTCATATTAAAATCTTCCATCATTATTTGCATGTTTAATAGTCATGTTAAATTTTTTAATGATTCGATTCGATTTCATTCGATTCGACTTGAATTCGTATTTAAAAAATGAGATTCGATTCGATTCGACATAAAAATTCTTGATTCGCACATATCTACTACCTATATAACGTTATATCTTGAGAATCTCTATTGTTCATTCAAGGGGTTTGCGGGTTCGAAGGGGTTTGCGGGTTTGGCGGAGAGGCAAAATTTGCACTCACAAGTAAAGGTACCCAACTGTCACTCACCGATTTTGATGAAACTTTGCCCACTTATAGAGCTATGGAAAATAATCGACACTTATTTTTTTTATCTGCGGAGAAGCAGTTTTAAGGATGGAAACTACCCCTTATTTGTGTAGAGTGTTTTCGCGTTAGAAGTGCTATCTTGTTGTTTATTCGAAAGGCTGAAAGGTTTCATGGGATTTTTGGGGTCGCTAAATTCGAATCTGACGTGGAAATTCAAAAATACAAAATGGCGGATCAAATATGGCGTCTATGTCTCGTGAGTGGGACCATTTTTTCCATGTAAATTAAAATGATGTCGACGAAAATTACGATTTTTTACATATATAGGGGAAATCACATTGTTTTCACTATTTTTAGTATTACTGTTTGTCATTTATTTTTATGCGTGCATATGAAATGTCTTCAGGCAACTTATATGGAATTTACTGTTATTTCACCTAATATTAAATGAATCTATTGAGAATAAATGTTCCATGTATTTCAGTATTTCATTATTCATTGAACGACCTCGAAAACCTAAAAAAATCGTAATTTTCGTCAACATCATTTTATTTTACATGGAAAAAATGGTCCCACTCACGAGACATAGACGCCATATTTGATCCGCCATTTTGTATTTTTGAATTTTCACGTCAGATTCGAATTTAGCAACCCCAAAAATCCCATGAAATCTTTCAGCCTTTCGAATAAACAACAAGATAGCACTTCTAACGCGAAAACACTCTATATAAATAAGGGGTAGTTTCCACTCTTAAAACCGCTTCTCCGCAGATAAAAAAAATACGTGTCGATTATTTTCCATAGCTCTATAAGTGGACAAAGTTTCATCAAAATCGGTGAATGACAGTTGGGTACCTTTACTTGTCAGACATATTCACCCGTATCAACTCGTAATTACGTCATTCTAATGTGACGCCGTCCGGCAAGATCGGCAATACTTCGATAATGAAGCGCGACTGTCGTCCCCGTCTCTCCGAAGAGGTAACGCAACGCGAAGTGCGCAGGAACTTCGGAGGACACACCTTCCGGTGGTAACAACCTTCGATTGATCCTTGATCATAACAAGATATCGCGCGAGCGCACGCACGCGAGCGAGCGAGCGGTGATTAGGGGCGCGCGCCTAATCTCCGCGCTGGACGGTCGCGCGACGTGGCTCCGGCGCCACGCACAGACGATCCGTGCGATATTGCGCTAAACCGAGCAATTACCGGCCGTAATCCCGGTAATAGAATTCCAATATGCGTGCCAATTGGACCGAGACTCCGTGTACGGGCGTGCAGGCGCGAACCTGCAGGTCGTGCACGCCCGACGAAAGCCGTGACACGGTTCAGCCATTAGCCACGGCCTCGGTTATCCGTGGGCTCTCTCTCTCTCTCTCTCTCTCTCTCTCTCTCTCTCTCTCTCTCTCTCTCTCTCTCTCTCTCTCTCTCTCTCTCTCTCTCTCTCTCTCTCTCTCTCTCTCTCTCTCTCTCTCTCTCCACATGTACACACGCTGGACGCGTGCACGCATGTGCACGTGGCGGCATGGGAGCCACCCTCAGCCCGATACATATCGCGCATACGTGCGCGGCAAGCCGCAATAAGGGAGCCGAGAAGGGGGCACGCGTGTCTTCCGCCCCTTCCTCCGCGGGAGGATCTTTCGGGTCGCACGTATGCGCCGCGCGATGTGGTCACGGTCACTGTTAGCACAGCGCCGAAATTTGCCGGCCAACGAACAGCGTGATTAGTGCACGCGCGAATAGGGATGGGCTGCAGGATTTATCCTATCTGCTAGCCGGACGCCGCTGTGTCCGTTGAAACTACGTTGAGACTGCAGACTATTGGGACCGGTACAATACTGGTTTTCAATTTTCGACGTGAATATAGAATTCGGCGCGCGATCCGCCACAGATACAGCAAAAATATAACTTCGTCGCGTTTCATTACACGCTGCGCGCCAAAATAGCGTTAACAGTCAAATTCGAGCGAATTATACCGATCGCTATTCACAAAACGGAGTACCTTCGTCGCGACGCGCGTTCTTTTTGCAATAGATAGAATATTGCCAAATAAGTTCAAAGAATATGTAGTTTTTCTCTTTTTTTTTTTTCCTAATAGAGATGTGCAGAAATGAAAAATAAAGTTGCACAAATGTAGATATAATGCATTTAACGCGCGACAGGCCCATTTAAATTTAAAAATATTGTAAAAAGTACAAAATAAAAGTAAGTGAAAGTATTGTACAGTTCAAGGATTGTTGGTACTCATTTTTTTTTCCTCGAGACAAATTGCCATTTAAATGTACGTTTTGTCCAAGACTGGAAAAAAATGGAATTGCTCGGAGTACCGCCGTATATCTAGGTTTTAGAAATACGTAAAGCTACTTACGTAATTTTAAAGCTGAAAAGCGTGGGGAAAGTGGAAAACTGGACAGGAAATTGGATGAGGCTGGACATGGAAACAGTTATCTGAAGCTTCTCACGTGGAAATGTGAAGAAAGATGTAGGTGGATGGTGTTTCGTCATTGACAGCCGCATTGAGGCATTGTGGCGCGAACGTGAAATTTTACTGTGGGTAAAAATAGAAACGGAATTAAAATTACAACTGTGTCATTCAACAATATATTTACGCCTTGCATAATATAAAATATATGAATATACAACTTTACATTCTCACACTGCATATCTATGTACGAGGTAAAAACAATGGGGGATCAATTTTCCGTGATTATTGGACAATACTGTTAGATACGTGACAGAGTATAATAACACGGTTTATAAATAAAAGAAAAGTTGTACTCCGGAGCGTTGCTTTTTACTTGTTTGTTTCTGGATTTCCGTAACACAGAAATTTTCCGGGGCGGCGACTGTCCGATAAAAATTGCAAAGTTCAGAAAGAGCGAGAAAAATTGCAAGTGCAAATTGCTGACAAAGTATTTCACACGAGGGATTTAAATTTGACGAAAATACCCGCTCACACCCGCCTTTATCTTATCACGGTGACGGAAACGTGCCGCCTCCACCAGCAACTAACGGGACACGAAACAAAAAACTGAAACTCCGCGATCGGTATATGTGCGCGGGTGAGGTGAGGTTGGGGTATTCCACGAGAGGATATACGAGGGGGACTTGGGCAAGAGAGGATATCCCGCCGTTAATTGGACCAGGGCCGATGATGTCGTCGTGCGAATTGTCGGCCACGAAATTACCCCGATATCTTCTCGCGTCTTCGTCGTTTAGAGGCCGCGCGGTACAATCGGACGGTGCTACACGGATTTTCTTTTCCTCCTGGCCCCACCAACGAGCCCCACCGAGAGAGTCCAATTACCCTGGCGAGACTCGGCGAGACTGACGACGTTTCCATCGACGCGAAAGCCACACCGTGGGGACAGGAATAAGACGCGCAGAATAATAAAATTGAGCGCCCTCGAGGCTCTCTCGTTTTCTCTTTCTCTTCTTACAACGACACGCTCGCGAGCGTTGCACGTCCGACGCAAATTATCGATTTTATTGGAGCGCGAGATAAATTTAACGCCGATTCATTGCGCGATTACATTTAATTGCCTCCAATTAAATCGCCGTTCCAATTAAAATCGACGCTAACACGGAGGGTTCATTACAATTTATTGAGCCGATAGCGGAGGCTCTTTTTTGTATCTCCTCTCAGTCATGCACTATCGCGTCATGTATTTACAAAAACTTGAAATGGTATGCTTCTCCCTCCCCTTTCCTATGCTTCCTTTTGAAAACTTTTTTACTTTGTACACATAATCCCTTATATAATGAAATCAGTGTGCCTCTTTGCAACGAGTATTACAAGCCAATATCAATGTGACATTAATTTCGCAATTGTTATCGCATTAGGACGACTTGTGTGAATATCGCAATTATTCCTTTATATTAAAAAGCAATAATATTTATTTAAAATAATTTCAGTATCTTTAAAATGTATATTATTCCGTAGAACAGTACATCATCCTGCTAAAAGGACATTAGCAAAAAACTAATACACATTTCATTCAACTTGAAAGTACACCTATATGAAATTACACGTATCGAATTTTTTATATATAGTCTCGAAGATAAAGGAAGAGTTCTTACGGAGTAATCGTCCATGTATCTCCACAAAACACGTATGCAGACAAGGAAGCATTCACTGACTAGTCGGTGGTGAACCACCGCTATCGTATTGACTTTTATTTCTCAGTAAATAACCAGCGAGGAAACTTATGGGATCAGCAGGCCTCTCCTTGGCTAGACAAGACAATGCTTGCAGTAGTATCGGCACTACAGTCTGATCCAAATACTGTCTGGTTGGGAGCGATTGTACTTCGACACGAGCTTTCTTTGGTGCTGGTGGAATACCAGAGATATCAGGATCCTTGTCCATTCCTACTACTTTCTGTCAACAACAAGAATATTGCACTTACAAATCAATAAACAAGACTCAGGCCTACTTGATAATTAAGAAATAATGAAACTCTTTGCATTATGCAACTTATCTCTTCCATACAAAGTGTTTTGTATAAAAAAAGATTTGTCTGATAGTTGTCGATAGTTTTGATTAATTGATTAAACTAGCTTGACAATGTCTAAATTAGGGCATTAGCTTGAAGATACATAAAGAGATCAAGTTCACTGCGATAAATTACAGTCCTGAACTGACAAAGTCTCAGTAATGTTATGAAACATTTTCACATCTGTGTCATCTATGTTTATACGATACATCTCAAATGTTAGTTTAGAAACATCAATTTATTTACACAGACACGCATAACCTTGCCAGTAGATCATAGTTTTGATGTCAGCTGTTTTCGACTAATATATGTCGCAGATAACAGGCAACACTGCACACGCGCTCTAACCTAACTTTTCCATGCCGTAAAATCGCGTATATTTCTTACGCATTCGTATTTAATCAGCGGACTCACTCTGTACGTGTCGAATCAGACAAAATATCGTTGCTCATGGACCAGCTGCCACATGACATGTTTTAGGTTATATATTTACTTACATGCGTTGCCTCGGACACAACATTGGAGATGGGTTGAGCAGGAGTCGTCGATTCGGTCCGTTCCTCGGTCGCGTTCTCTGTCATAAAAAGAAAAGAAAAGACAAACGGCTGTTACTAAAACGAAATTAGAGATTCAGGCCTGGTCGGATGATGGCCAGACCGCGCGCGATTATATGAAAAAGGGAAATTGATGGACACGTACCACCGCCGGTCGCCATGGTGTAAACAACCGTCGCTACCAACCGACTTCTCTGGACTGTCACGCCGCGCCGTGTCGCTCGCGCACACAAGACGCGGGAACTCGTGCCACGTGGTCAAACGCCATACAGCAATAAATTCTCCGTTTTTCTTTTGTTATCTCGAGAATAAGAAATATATATGTGCACTCTCGAATGATTAATGATTGCGACACTTTTGTCTCGATAAATTTTGCAACGCGACAAGAAAATAATATCCTCTGTTAGAAAAGAAATAGTTTCGCTGCGTAGTGAAGCCATTGTTATTATTGCGTACTTGTAAGGACGACTACAAAACTTGGCATAATATCGATTTTGCAAATTACACGTCCTGCAAGAAAAAACTGTATTGCAGCCAGAATGGTAAACTTTGCTGAGTGAATTTGTCCTTAGAAACCAGTTTTAATTTGCTGTTAGCGGAGAACAGTGTGTATTCTTGGTAAAAGATTGATTTATTGCTGGAGTGAAACTACTATGATTTCTGGAAATTTTTAAATCATCAACAAAAGTTAAAGCACTATTATAATACCAAATTCTCGAGAACTAATAGAATAAAAATGTCTAGTATTCTCCTTCGTTTTTTTCCGACAAATAGCGAGATATCGTGAGCTAAACATTGAAAAAATTACCAAGCTTCCTTTCAATATCTCAAACATTATTAGGCAAATAAAAAAATGTTTTAAACAAAAGTTGTTCAAATTAATTGGTAAAAAAGGATAATGTGATAAAAGACAGGGATTTCCACTTACGATTTTAAAGTTGAGTAAATCTTAATATTCACAGAGTTCATCATTCACGGTAACGACGAACGCAAAATGCAGTGTGCTTTTAGACAATCGTTATCTGTTAATCAATTTCAAAAAAGTGACTATGTTATGTATGTATGTTCACATATTATCTTAATTTTTTGACTACTTTGATTATTATTAATTTTTAATAATGTGACAAAACTATTTCGCTCATGTAACCAAAATGTTCTAAATAGTGTTAATATTAAATGTTATTAATTTAACACAAATATATCTTGCTATAATAATAAATCCGCTTAGCCAATAACTAATGTTTAGCCGTTATTGTGATAAAAGTATTTTAATGAATAATGAATAAAAGACCGTAGTTCATACAGCAAAATAATTTGTAGATTTAGCAAAAGCTATATCTAGCAAGTGAAATTAATATTTCTGACAGATATCTTCGCTATCAAAACAATAACTAATAGATTTTATTATGACAGCATAAAAACTGTGCTGTGCCAACGAATTATTTTCTCCGCGTAAGAATTACTAAGAGACAAATTCTCCTGTCGAATATGGGATGCGTTACAAAAGTCATCGAGACAAAAATGTTACGATTTTCGATCATTTTAGTACACCTTGTCCTCCTTCGAACATTTTCCAAAAATAAAAGGTACGCGTGTAATTATTACAATTTGCATTACATTTAAAACCGGAGAATTTCGTTTCGCAGGGGAAAAACGGTCGTAGAATCCAACAATTTAATAAAAGGGGAATATAATACGAATTTCATAATGTATCAAAATTATATTACTTGGAATCGTAATAAATAAATTAGATCGCAGTTGTTAGTATTCCTGCGGTCGAAGCGGGTGAAATTAATGTATCGATTAAACAAATCGAATTAATGTATGCGCGTGTATATACGCTATATATGAATCAACCGTATAGCAGCTACGCATAAATTATTATTCCCGCTACCGTGCAAATTATTCGGCGATCAGGGCAAGGCTGAAGAGAGACGAGCCTCCGGGCGACCGTTTTAAGTTTTATTTATTTAACGCAAAGTTAGACGCTACAACTTTGGTACAAAAACATAAAATAGTGGCGTTGAGGAAACAGTACACTGCGAGCGGGTCCTCGAGTCTCCGCGAACGCGGAGGATCGTAAGCGCGTTTTTTCCCGTTTTTGTCCGTTTTTCGCGTTCGTTTCGTTTTTCCTTCTCCTCTCTCTTTTTTTTTTTTTTTTTCCATTAAACCGACGCATCGCAGATCCGTCGGTGTGTCACACGGACGGGGGGATCATGAAAGCGCGAAGGAAACGCTTCGAGTCTGACAGGCGGGAGGAGGCGAGGGAGGGCACGAGCTCGAAGAACCGCGTTCGCTATCGTACGGAAAGAACAGCCAAACGCTTTCAACGCATATATCAATCAAGCATACACGAGCGAACAACGCGCTTCTCGCAGCGTCTCTCAAAAAATAACATCGAATCCTGCAAAGAATACCACACACAGTTATGCGCCGACCACGCGTCGCGGGACGAGCTAACGATGGGGCTCGGGGAACGTTCGGCAAAAAGCTGTACGCGTTTTTGACAGATTACATCAAGTTCTGTGACGGCGGCGGGGGATGGCGGGGGGGGGGGGAATGGGGGAGCGGGGGTAGGGCAAAGGGGAAGAGTGAAATGCCACTACGCGAAAGTAAAAAACAAACAGCCGTCGGGAGGCAAAGAAGCGAGTAGAAAAGAACACACGGACGTAAATTCGCAGTCTTTAAGTTGCAGCGCTCGATGTCAATAATGTTCCAGCCGGAGAACATTCGTTAAGCCGAGACTCGACTTGGCCCGATTGTCGTGAGACGTACACACGCCTCTCTCTCTCTCCCTCTCTCTCTCTCTCTCTCTCTCTCTCTCTCTCTCTCTCTCTGTCTCTCTGGTCCACGTGTAGCCTTTTGCCGAAAACACCCTGGGCCGCTCACAACATAACGTTATCACCTGTGCGACGTCGCGGACGTTCAGCACGCTTAAGACAAAAGCTGAGCCGCGGTCAAAATAGCGGACGTGATCGCGCGCATCACTATACATAATATATATATATATATATTTATATATACGAATGCATTAATATCATCATTATCATCGCATTAATGGCCTTTGCGCCGTACGCTGCTCTGGTTAGATTCGGAAGCGAGTCGAAGCGACAAAGTTTCGCAGGAGGCGAGGGATGGGGGGGGGAGGGGAGGAGGCGAGTCGAGTGAGTAAAACGTTAGTGATACTAGAAGTCGTACAAGGGTGACTTGGGACCGGTGACTTGGGACTACGTTAATTGCGACAAAGAGATCGCGATTGTAATAACATATACACGAGACACGAGGCTTTTCTGCGTAGCCTTTCAAAATCACATCGATGAGTAAAGTGCGTCGGCGTGTCGAGCCGCGGCCAGTTTGTCTCGGTTTTGCAGAGGGTAGGAATTCCTCTGCGGGAGCGGAGGCGATTCGCGGAGCGAAGCACCCTTGAAATTTCGTCCGATCGCGCGCGTGCGTTTAATTTTAATCTCACCCGTCCACGTGAATTTGCGCGAATATCAAGAAACAACGGTATCAATTTGCTCGGCACTAATTACATGTGGTCGAAATTAAATTAACTTCACACGGGAGGACACAGCGAGAAACGTGAAAATTAATATCAAACAATAATATATCGTACTCCCCCGGGGCGCGCCTTCATATTCGCCGATTACATAAATTTAACAAATTAGATTAATTAAGTTAATGGTAACGGTAACAAAGAATAATGCATGACGAGGCGGAATGGATTCCGCGCGGCGCTCAGCGTATTCAAAATACAGACATCACCTGTACTCGTGGGTTGTTACACCCAAGGACCCTACAACGGAATATGTATTATCGCACGTCCGCGCTCGCGCGATAACGCTCGCATAAGTGAAACGTATACGTTTGCGAAAGTGAAAGTGCCGACGTTCGTTCGGCGGATTTCTCTTTCTTTCCAAAGATGCTTTCTCGTCCGGTCACCCAACTGGAGGCCGGCTCGTGCATCGCCTCGGCAAACAAATGCGACACCTAGAAATAGCTACTTACAACGTATATGTATAATGTGTATAGTTAATATATATATATATATAATATTTATATTTATATTTTTATATATATATATATGTATATCTAGAAATAGTATCGTGATAAAAACGAACTATGAGACGCGGCGCCGTGACCGCGGAGTCGCGCGACGTCGGGCTGGTGCACACGCGAATTACGCGAATGACTTCAGGACGCTTCCGCTTCGTTTGTTCGCTTTCGTCTGTTTGCTGCTTCGTTCGTTCGTTCGATCGTGCGTGGATTGGATCGGTCGTCGACGCCCGGCGCGGCGGAAAGATCAGCCGCCCCGAGCGGAACGGTCTCTTCGATTCGCGCTCGAGAAAACGACCCCCGGTTGACCGTCCCGACTTCTCGCTCGTCTCGCAAAAGTACCAACGACGCCTTCTCGCGACCATCCGTCCGGCTTACGAGCTATCTACGAGTTAAATCCAGCTTGTTTTGTTATTACTCGAACCGCTTACACTTGTAACGATCATCGCCGCGATATATATCAGTGCGAGTATCTTATTCGGTACGTCGTAGTAGTCAATCGAAGATTAGCACGGGGGATAATTAGGTGTGTACAGCGGACTAAATATTTATATCATATAGGACGACAGCAAGTGTGATGTGGCGTGTATTGCGTGCACGCGCCAGCGCGCATGCTGGGTTACATGTTGCTTGTAAATGTATATGGCTGGCTGGCCTGCCGTGTATCGAAGCGTTCCCTCGATGGCTCGCCGCGTTGTTCTTCCTACGGACAGTCGATCGGCATGTTTTTCCGGCGTAATTTCGAGACTTCCCCCTCCCCGGCCGAGCGAGCGATGCTGAGGAGTGGATCAATCGGCGCGCTCGTTTCTTTTTTTCTCCTTTTTCCCGTTTTTAATCGCTGAAGGATGACGACGAAGCCGAAGGCGAAGAGTGACGACGTACCCTACGCGCTCTCCGCGACGTCGAGACTCAAGATTGCCGATCGTCTAGGGGGTGTAGAGGGACGAGGGGACACAACCTTCGTTACGAAATTATAAATCGTACAGTATATGTATATAGTATATGTACGCATGTATGTATATATCGTACGCCCGCGAGGAGCGGCAGTGTGGCACAACCATGACTTAAAAAGCGACCAACTAATCTCGTGTATGTACGTGTGTAACTGTGTACGCCTATGTGCGTAATGTGTGTGTGTGTTCGTGCGTATGTGTATGTCGTGTATGTTTCGTGTGTGTGTGTGTTGAGTGTACGTATATATATATATATATATATATATCGTTAATATGTTTTTTTCTTTAATACGTTACACGACTTCTGCGACGATCGTAACCTAGGATTATATCCCGAATATATATCAGAAGACCCCCGTTGAACCGTTACCGTCGCCGAGAGCACCATCGCGGGCCGCGTTCCTGCCGCGGCTGGATGCCTGCGAACACAGCTTCCGGGTGTTCGCCTTCCTACAGGACAGCCTCGCGCGGCAGTCGCGAGCCTCGAACCCCGCGTACGCGTTCGCGACGGCAGCGTGAGAAAATCGACGTGACTCGATGCGCTGCGCCGGAATTTTGCTTCGTTGCGTACAACGAACTGTGACCATTTCGTCGAGGGAGACGTTGTCTTCGTCGGAACGAGACGAGCCTCGCTTGCCGATCCGTGCGGGGACCAATTTGACGCGATTCAAGCGAACGTGTGCTGAGGTATTGCGAGACTCGCGAGACTTGCGAACGAGGTGTGGCTGACCTCACGAATCGCAGTGCCTCCTTCGCGAAAGGGCAGTTAAGTAGAAGTAGGCAGTCTTTAATCTGGCCTTCCCAAGTATGTGCGTAATTGAGAGTGAAACGGGCTCGAAAAGGTGTATCAAAATCAAGGCAGTTTCGAATTGGCGCCGGCCTTTCTGACGACCGAATGTAAATGAACGATCGATTATGCTCGAGAAGGTCGCAAGGAAAATGCAAGGAAAGGCCGAAGGACGAAAGAGAGACAGAGAGAGAGAGAGAGAGAGAGAGAGAGAGAGAGAGAGAGAGAGAGAGAGAGAGAGAGAGAGAGAGAGAGAGAGAGCGAGTGAGAGAGAGAGTGACAGGGGGAGCAGAATCGAACGATATGGTCAGAGGGCGAAGAAGGCGGTCCCATTTCGCGAGGTGGACCACGAATTCTCGTTTGCAATCACGATCTCGAGATGATATCAACGCGCGTACACCTTACGTGGTAATCGAATCTATCTACTCGCGACGACGTTTTCTAGTTTCTATCGTAAATCGTTGCAAATTGGACCGACGACAGCACCGGGGGAAGAGTTAGCGTGCGCTTCATTTCCGCGTCTCTCGGTTTTCCTCACGGCCGCCGGCTATCGAGAGAGGCGGAAGACCACGGAAGATGATTTACAGGTTACACTGCCACAGTATCGTAGGGTGTGAGGAGTCCCCCGTGACCGCCGTGGGGGCCGCCGGCTTGCCGGCTGGGAGCTTCGTTTCTGTAACAGGAATTTACACTTTTGCCACTCGCCGCCAACCAATGTCGACTGACTCCTTCACGCAGCTGCAACAACACGTTCGCGTGCAGATGTCCTTTCTGCCGGTGAGAGAATGTGGGCAGTGGGACCCCTCTCTTCACCGGAGTACTCCGAGGAAACGTGCAGATGTATACGAAAAGCAGTAATGTGCCTGTTTGTGAACCAACTTTTCGGCAAACGGGAATTTCCTTGAAACAAATTCAACTGAGCAGATTCAGCTCTTAATCCTTGGATCACTTAGATCTCATCTCATTTATTGTCGACAATGGATACACAATGGACACACAGGAGAAGGAGATTTGCACGCGAGTCGACCGAGAAACATGCTTACAACAGCTAAAGTAGCAACGACGACAACGAATATTACTGATATTGTGGCATGAATGAGTAAAATATAAAAATGACGATCTCGGTATGCAGAAGCATATATATGTCAGTCTCGTTAGTAGCATCAGCAGCAGCGGCATGAGTAGCGGGTTCAGTAGCGATGTGAGTAGCAACAGCGCTGCGGTGGAAATATGGTTAGCGTCGTTTCTCACGTATCTCTCTACCGCATTCTACCTTTGAATTAGTGGACACAGTTACGTTACACATGACACTATTCACTGAAGCTACATGCAAAAAACACACGTTATATTAATTAAAAGCGCTCTCGATGGTGACTGAGGGGACTTTTGTCATGTCCGTAAGCAAAACACGCTTTGGAGGGTCGTCTACTCTGCTGTCGTCGCAAAAGAAATCAGGTAGCCGAGAACTTGAATGGGATGATGAAAATCAGTACAAAATGGTGTGTGACGCATCTCAAAAGCTCTTGGCATGTCTTTAACACGTCAGTACATCCTGATGTGATTATGATTAACGAACTTACGGCTTCCTGCGTAATTAGTCATGAAACAAGAAGAAAAGATCAGATGAACGTTAAACAGCTCGTTCGAGTACTCGTCGAAAGTCGCTAGTGAACCACCGTGCACTCGATCGCCGTTCATCGACAATTCAATTCGCGTGTACTCGAGTACCCGTGCTGGGGTACATCGAGGATAGGACAATGCAAGGGTCGGTCGCGCTCAAGCGCCATGGACCCATGGAAGTGGAAGAACGCGAGATGATGAACCGGATCGCGGCCGAGACGCCGCTCTGAGTGATCGTGGAGCGATCAATTCGGAAAAAAAGAGCCATCGCGGATGATTGTTTCACCGCGGTGCTAAGTGACATCGGCAAGTACAGCATTCGCGATCAAGTGAAATCGCTCGAGACACAGCGGCAGGTACGGTGTAACGCCATCAGACGCGTTCACCGTTAACCAAGCTCACTCGCGCTCTACTGACCTCTCTATGAGTTTACGCATCTCCTCGGTGGTCATGCCGTCCTTGCTGCGAGCATTCACTGAAATAGAAAAACACACGGCACGATTGACACAACGATTAAACTACTACGACAACAACACGTATCATGCAATTTGTGGAGGAAGCTATGGACGATTAGGACCAAAAAAAAAAACAAAAAGAAAAAAGGAAGTAACACATAGTCCGCGGGCGAGTCTTCTCCATTCGCGACTCGCTCGCCATGCGACACGTCCGCATAAATGGGCCGTCGTACGCCTAATAATGCTTAGTGCATGTAAAACGAGCAATGTAGTAAGAGAGCTGTGATCGGAGCGAGATGATTCTTCGAGAGGGAGCATATAAGCCGGATCGCAGTGCCGCTCGCGCTGACAGAGAGGACGAGAGTCTTCGACCTCCCCCGATCGCGAGCCAGATCGCGAGTCCAGCTTTATTATGTGGTCTCCCCCTTGTTCGTTCTCCGACCTATCACGAGTCTTTCTACTGACCGCCGTAGTTGCGGTTGACAAGCTGATCACGGTCGCACTCGGCCTCGCTGATCTCGTTGCTCTCTTTGCTGTCGTTGAAGCTGGAATTGTTCTGGTCGTGGTTCCTCGGCGGCGGTGGTGGCGGTTCCGGAGAGCCTGAAACGGGAATGTTGCGAGCCGAGCCTACGCTGCGACGTCCGACTGAGCCGCGAGATCCGTAATGGTCATAGGGTGCGCCGTATTGTCCATATTGTGATCCGTATTGATCTTCCTCGGGAGCGCAATTGGCCGGGTCATCGTATTCGGGCGAGAAGACGTTGTGGGTACCACTGCCACCTCCTTGGGACGGCACTCGGGAGTAGCGGCCGTTTTGACGAGGCTGCAATGAATATCGGACACGATTCCAACGATGGCTGTACAATGAACGCTGGCTTATAGGGCAACTTGTCCGTACAAAATCTCTCAAAGTGAGAGATACAAATCTCCCCATAATGATTTCCTTTCTAAGTGGTTGAGACACAAGCTGTACGCGCGTTTTAACAAGATACCGTAGAAGACACGAGATATTATTGTTACGTCCTGGAGGAGGAACGTAACTGGACGCTTGCTTTCACAAGCTCCGACGTACTCGCAAGTCTGCGGTGCAAATCAAGAATTGGAATGACCCCTTTATCTGGCGCGAACGTACGTCGGTAGTCCTTTATTTAGGTCAAGGAACTGAATCCCTTTACCTGGGATAGGACCGTGAGCGACAGTTGAGAAAAGGGAGAATGAATAGGTATGAGGCCACGGAATAAGGCTGCGTGAAAGCCACGTGTATCACCTCGTAGAGGTGAGGTCGGAGGGGAAGCTATCGGAGATGGGTTCCAAGATAGAGGAGAGCCTGTAGAAGATCGGTCATCTATGAGACTCAGGGATGTCAGCGAATAAGAAATAGGAGGAGTTCCGAGGGGAGAATCGGCAAGGAACAAGAGAGGAGGACGCGCAGGTCTTAAAACGTTTGGTTCGTTATGGTGGATAATGTAATCCGGACGGTCTTGGATTACAAATTCTATAGAGGCGACCTCAAAATCCTCGCGGTTTATGCAAATTTCCGTGGTAGTTGTGTACGCCGCATTGGATTTTACTCGGTTTGCGTACGCGATAACTGATTCATCGGTTCTTTGATGTATGCGTCCTAATTCACCTTGTAATTCGGGATAAGTTTTAAATGATCCGAAAACGTTCTTTAAAAATTTCGTTAATTGGCTGACGAGCGAGGAATCTTGATCTTGCATTGCATGGTGAGCTTCTCCTGTTAAACGCGTGTAAAACATTTTCGTTAAATATCTTTCTTCCTCGATCGGTGTCATTGCCTTTGCTAGATTACATCCTTCTATAAAATGTTCTACTGGAATATTTTGTCCGTCGAAGAAAGGAACGGCACCAACAGCGTAATTATTACTCGTTTTAAATAATTTCGATTTAATTTTTTCTGAAACTTCTAAGTTTTTTGTAAGAGGAGTCTCGCTTCTCGCCGCCGGTTCTTTATCGTTTAACATCTCTGTTTCGCTTATCGATTCTATTTCTTTGCTATTTGAAATCTCCAATCTTTCCGTCGGTGGTTTATCGCTCGACTCTACTGCGGATTTGGTAAGTTAAGTGGAAAGAGTATAGAGATTCAAGAGAGCGGTATAAAGTAAAGGGTGTCCCAAAATTCACGCAAGAAGTAATTTTGATAGAAAACATAGTTTTATAATTAAAAATTGTAAATTTTTTATTGATTCATACAGTATAGGGTTATGTATGCAATAGCATATCGGGTAAATGGCCTCCACGGTTTTGCTGGCACATATGCACTCTTTTGTTGAAATTTTCCATGACCGTTTTGCATAAATGTAGCTGAATTTCGTTGATATAGCGCTCGATTTCCTTCTTCAAGGCGTGAGTGATCGTGGGCTTGTTGGCATAAACCTTAGACTTCAAAAAATCCCAAAGAAAAAGGTCCAACGGCGTTAAATCGCACGATCTGGGCAGCCAAATCTGATCACCAAAACGGGAAAATACACGACCAGGAAATGACTCATGCAGTAATTGAATTGTTTCTCGGGCTGTATGGCATGTAGCACCGTCTTGTTGAAACCACATCTCGTCCACATCCATATCTTGCAATTAGGCACAAAAAACTGGTTTATCATGTCGCGATAGCGAGCACCATTAACTGTTAGTGCCTGACCAGCCACATTTTCGAAGAAGAATGGTCCGATGATGCCTCCAGCCCAAAATATGCACCAAACAGTGACACGTTGTGGATGCATTTGTTTCTCAACAATCACTCGTGGATTTTCTGAACCCCAAATGCGACAATTTTGTCGATTAACCAAGCCATCAAGATGAAAATGAGCCTCATCGCTGAAGATGATTTTGTTCGAAAAATCAGCATCCACTTGTTGTTCCATAATCCAACGTTGTTCCATCCATTCAACGAACTCTCTTCGCTGTGGCCATTTACCCGATATGCTATTCCATACATAACCCTATACTATATACTTTATGAATCAATAAAAAATGTACAGTTTTTAATTATAAACCTGTGTTTTCTATCAAAATTACTTCTTGCGTGAATTTTGGGACACCCTTTAGGTTGTGCTTCGCTACGGTGCTCTATGAGTGATGTAGTCTGTTCTAAACTTTTATCTATAATAGGACTGAAAGGGTTGTCAAAAGCTTGCGGTTTTGCATCCAAATGCAGTCCAAATGCACTCCAAAAGCGGACTATCGCTCAAAATTTTCCGAATTTCAGGAGTTGTGGGTTCAGTTATAGGTAAAAGAATAGATGCAGGGGAAGCACTTGAAGACAGAGGGTGCAGAAGGAACGTAAAGTGTCGATGTGTATTGCGGCTCAATCATTTTAGAAGGTTTTAGGCGTTGCCCGTATGGCCTGTTGATATGCCTTATCAACCTCGGATTTATCTGAATTCGCGTATTCATGCCCCTATTTCAACTATCGCTCATATAATCTCGGACGAGCCCCAAATTTTTATATGTTACGTCCTGGAGGAGGAACGTAACTGGACGCTTGCTTTCACAAGCTCCGACGTACTCGCAAGTCTGCGGTGCAAATCAAGAATTGGAATGACCCCTTTATCTGGCGCGAACGTACGTCGGTGGTCCTTTATTTAGGTCAAGGAACTGAATCCCTAGGATAGGACCGTGAGCGATAGTTGAGAGAAGGGAGAATTTTTGTTTTGAATAATTAGTAGGAATATGTGATTGCCTTATAATTACAAACAGCATTGTTTTGTTGATAGCTAAGTAGAAGTTTACAATGAAGTATGTCCGTTGAAATTCGTGAGGTTTTATATGTACATATACAGGGTGTCCCATTTTAAGTGTCCACTCCAAATATCTCTCTTATTTTTTATTTTAGAGAAAAATGGTTCAGACACGTTTTGTATGGTTTCGAGGGGGCCATAAGATGGTACCATTGATTTGACCTTGAAGAATCATTTGAAGGTCACGTGAAGGTTACCTCAATTTTTTAGATGGCACCCCCTACTTTTTATTACATATTCTTATAGCTGACCTCGAGAGCTTCCCAACATTTTCCTTTAAAATATCGCGTTTTCGAAAAAATCGGGATAGACGGGTGGTCGTAAACACCCTGTATATTTGTATTATTTATAGATAAATATCAGTGAATTTTAGATCTGCTAAATCTGATTTAGATCTTTATCGGGATGATTATGAAATCTTATCTAGGTGACATCAACTCTGTCTACTCAACTCTGTCTATAAGTAAAGTGAAAGATAAGTAAAGATGCTTTATAGACAAAGTACTATAAACCCGCGTGAGTAATTGATTAAGTACCATAGATTGAGATCCAGATCGGCTATGGGCGGAGGCGTTAGTCGGATGTCCTACAGGTGGTCCCATGGTGCCAGAGTGGCCGTTTCCGGGATGGGGAAAGGTCTGGAACTGCATAGCCTTGCTCGGGTCCATTTCCTCACGGAATCCCAAAAGATGGAAGGTAGCGTACGGGCAGATCTCATCCTCCATACCTGTAAACGAACGATCATCCAGGGTAGACCCTGTGGCTATGGGCGGAAAATCTATGAAATACGATGTTCTTTGATGATAAAGATTGCTTCAGAAGGTGCTCCTCGAGTGTAAAATTCATTATGACGGTCGTTGCTTTAAACTTCGTTAAAGAATGAAATTGGAAAAAATTATATAAGCAATCTTTTCCTTTGTTGATTTTACATGCGACCTCTCTATCCGGATGTAAACGAGCAAGATGTTTTTTACTCACTTCAACACGTTTCTTCTTTCCTCTATTCTCGTTCTAAGTTGAATCGTTTTCGATAGGTGGTCATGCGTTTTGAAAATGTATTTAGATAGACTACAGTCCACTGACACCCGATCGTCCGACCGATTAAAATCACGCGGTTTTTATTTAATCGAGCTACTTGTTTAATTCTCTAATTCTAAAATTCGTCTATTCTTGTTTATGTATTTTGGGGAATGAAGGGAAGGGGGTGTAAATCTCTGAGATCGCTATGTCGCTACGACGATCACGCGGGCGCAGGGACGTCTTGGAAAATATCATAGATGAATGTATAAATCTCTGCTAAGTGGTTCGTGTTGATTGTCGGCGTGCTATGAGCGCAAGCATGCGAAAACGTGCAACATCGAGAAACGAGTCGTGCCGCGAGATGTGACACAAGAGGTTCATGGAGCAAAGGGGGACTTACAACGACCGGCTGCGACGAGCCCAGCAACGTCGCCGGCTCCGGATTATCGATCTCGTAAGGCGATCAGGCGAGAATGCCGGACACGCCTTGTGGGCCAAAATTACTATTACCAACCTCTGTGCGAGAGACCGTCTGCACTGCCCATACGTGGTGGCGGCGGACATCTCCTGTTGGGCGCGTAGTGACTCAATTCCTCATACATGTGCCGCCTGGGATCCCACGTCGAGTGACTCCTTAACGAGCCAGTGCCACCTATCGAACACATACTACAAAGGTCGTACGACTCGCTGGCGCCTATCAAGATTCGTTCTCGCCAACTGACAACCCTGTTTTCTTGGAGGACTCGAGGCTCTGGGGTGGGTGTTGTTCTCTCTTTTCGCTTTCTCAGTGGATTCACGATCGATATGCGGACCGGTGCATTCGTTACACTCGTTAGGCACCAACGACGCGTGATAAGCGCAAACAAATATAGGAACGAACGTTATTTTCCGCTGGAGGGACATACATTTCGTTAACGTATATAAAAACATTTCGAAGCGAGGCGAACGAAAAAATTGGCACAGTTATATATATATATACATATATATATATATATATACATATATATATATATATATACATATATATATATATATATATATATACAGGATATTCCATTTAACTTGAGATAACAAAATAATTCAAAAGTAAAGAAGAAAAATAAAAATCGCTAAAACATGTGTCGAACGAATTCCGAGGACGAGTAAAATGGCATGATTCCTTTTTCATTTGGTGGACATCTTCAAGGTGATTTTAAGGTCAACTTTGTTATTTCAAATGAAAACCTATATTTTTTATGACGGAAGCATATTTTACGTAAAAAAAAAACAATTAACTCTTGTCCGAAAAATTTTTTTATTTGATCATTACTTTCGGAGATATCGTACGAAATAATTCCGATTTTTATTCGAAACGAATAAAATAAACATATCACAATAAATGCTTAAAATGATGGCCTGCCATTTCCAAACACTTGTTAATGCGATTAATAAAAGATCGATTCACTGATGATAAAGTCTCTGGACGGATATCGCGACAGGCATTTCGGATTCGCTCTTTCATGTTTTCTGATGTGGTTGGTCGATCGTGATAAATTTTTTCTTTAAGGTGACCGCATAAATAAAAATCTGACGATGTTAAATCAGACGACTTCGCCGGCCAGTTAACTGGTCCTCCCCGACCTATCCAGCAACCAGGATATTTCTGATTCATTATTTGGCATGCATAACACGAATAGTGAGCTGGGCATCCATCCTGCAGAAACCACATATTTCTTCTGTCTGCTAGGTTTACTTCTTCGAGTAGTACGAGTAATAATTTTACATCCAAGAAGTTTCCACATTTCCCTCGATTCAGATCAAAATGTTTGGAAATGGAAGACCATCATTTTGAGCATTTATTGTGATACGTTTGTTTTATTCGTTTCGAATAGAAATTGGAATTATTTCGTACGATATCTCCGAAAGTAATGATCAAATAAAAAAATTTTTCGGACAAGAGTTAATTGTTTTTTTTTTTACGTAAAATATGCTTCCGTCATAGAAAATATAGGTTTTCATTTGAAATAACAAAGTTGACCTTAAAATCACCTTGAGGACGTTCACCAAATGAAAAAGAAATCATGCCATTTTACTCGTCCTCGGAATTCGTTCGACAGGTGTTTCAGCGATTTTTGTTTTTCTTCTTTGTTTTCGAATTATTTTGGTGTCTCAAGTTAAATGGGACACCCTATATATATGATCGTGTGTATGGGGGTTCTGTATGACATCTGGGAAACTGTATGTGTGGTGGCACATTGGTCTGGAAGCCTAACATTGTGTGTGTGCGTGTGTGTGTGTGTGTGTGTATGTGTGTGTGTGCGAGAGTCAACGTGTCTCTCGAGAAAGGATGAAAGAAGGAACTATCGTGCCGATGCGACAACAACTAGACAAGAAGTTGAAACTGGTCTAAAAGGTAAAGTGTTGGCAGTTGTGGCTTACTTATAACTGTACCTCGCTTGATGCGATCGCAGGTATTGTAGTTGGAGCCGGGTACAGGTGGCAGCTTGCGGTTAGGCGGCGCAATGTATCCCAATTCGTCACGAAGGTCGGACCTGCGTTTATCCAGCGTGGCTCCACCGACTCCGGTTTGTTGATAGACTACGTCGTCTGAAGTAACGACGGGCGAGTCAATAAACACGAACGTGCCTCTCGATACTTTCTATCTCATTGTTAATATATATCATCACATTGTTTATGCCATCACCCACGCTTGCGTAAAAAAGGAACAAAACGGGACATGGAGAATCAAGAGAGAAAGAGAGAGAGAGAGAGAGAGAGGGAAAGAAGGATATTATGAGGAATGACTTCAAGACTAGGGTGGCCGACGCGTGGATCAATCATCAGGAAATTATTATGACGACATTGCAATATTACGCAATAATATGTTGTATGATATATCCAATCCAAATTGATTAATCGCTGATTAATCAACAGCGCTCACATCTTTCTCGATTGCCGTTTATAATCGAGGTCGAAATTGAAAAGCTCATTGAAAAGCAACCCCATTTCCCGACGAACCTCCACCGTCTTTTTACGACTTAACGATTTATAAAGTAATAAAAAAAAATTGGTATACATTGTCCCTCGTAATATTTCTCGTCGGCTGAAGAGATACCTCGCAGCCGTGTTTGTTCCGGGCCTCGAGTTCTCCTCGAGAGCGCGACGCAAATGACAACTATTCCTACTATTATGACAACGACCGTTGCGCCGACCGGCACCACCACGTTTACGTCGAGCCAGCTGGGTAACCACGGGAAGTAACGCCTCACGTCCGTGTTGTCGTTACCGCCGTTACGTACGGGAGGTGCGATCGTGCCTGTTGATGGGGAGAGAAACGAACGGGAGACGAATTAATGGGCGAGAGACGCTGTACCTTTGTCGCCGCTGTGGCGACTGCCCCTCATGACGCAGATCACGATGACGGCAACGATTATAACGAGAACGGCTGCTACCACGGGCACGAACAGGTTCAAATTCGCCATGAAAATTTTCATCGGGTCCTCGTCGTTGCCACCACCGTTTACATCCGGTAGCTCGCGGGCCGGTGCAATGGTGCCTGGAACAGAAAATTTCGGCAACTTCGTTCAATCCAGTCACCATTGGCACCGGCTACGAGGCGCCGGCTGCGTGTTCAGACTAACGCACGTACTCACCGCCAGTCACCGTCAACGTCGCGAATTCGTACTCGGCTACGGCGAAGCCGGCGTTGTTGTGTGCCGTGACGCGCAAATGATACCAGCTCGCAGGATCCAAATCCAATACCACGAAGTTACCGCCTGGCTTGACATTGTTCGACACCTGGTTCCACTCTTGCTGATGCCTGGGAAACACGAAACACGCGCGCATTAGTCGCGGCCGCTCCGCCTATTCGCCTTGAGCGCTTGAGCTCGCTTTTTGTCTCTCGTCTTACTTCTTCTTGTGCTCTACGACGAAATACAACATGGGGCAGCCGCCGTCAGACCAGGCGCTCAAGTGCAGAGTGATGCTGTTCGTGGATACTTCGATGAATCTGCCTGCTTCGGGAATAATCGGTTTGGAGCCTTTCGTGCGGGTGTTCAGTATGTCTGAGGGATCGCCGGTTCCGATTCTGCGAAACAGAAAAGATTCATGAGCAGAAGTCCTTATATCGCTTTCCAGGCTTGACGACGTAGCGAGTTACCCGTTGTAAGCCGTCACGTAGATTTGATATCGGGAGCCACACCACAAGTTCTCGAGAGTATACTTCTGCACCGTGGAGCCGATCTGAGCAGTTTCCCAATCGCCGAACTCGGGTTTGTAGTGGATCGTGTAGCCGTGGATCGGTGCGTTGTCGGTAGGATGAGGGCGCAATTTCATCGTCAAGGAGTTGGTGGTGGTGGCGGTGAGGGTGACCTGCGGTGAGTGCGGTGGGGCTGCAAATGCAACGTCGCCAGTCAGTAAGCGAAGAGCGAGATCAGCAGCCGTGATTTCACATCCACGCACCGTGCACGACCAGTTGATGAGTCACGGTGTCGTGGCCGAAGGAATTTTCAACATAGCAAGAATATTCTCCAGCGTCCGCACGATCGACTTCCTTGATGAACAGGGATCCTTCGGGCAATTGTCTCAGTCGGTCGCTGGGTTGGAGAACGGCGCCTCGTACCTTCCATGTCACTTCCGGTGCCGGTACTCCGACGGTGAGGCAAGGCAGTTTTACGTCCTCTTTGTACGTCGCGGTGAACTTGTCGTCAAATGATGCAATCTTGGCCGGTACTGTTTAAATACGAAGTGAACATCGTCACGTCAACTTTTACACACGCGACATCTTGTCAGTGTTAAGAGATTTCACCTATACGTTTTCTTCATTCCAGTCTTATTTTCTAGTATAGTAGAATGCTATTATTACGATAAATGAGATTTTTATTCTCATTTTAATTGTACTTATGTATTTGCGATATTAAACCAAACAAACATCAAACAATCGTGTAAAGATCCAAATTTTGCAAATTTGATCTAACGAAGGAGAAATTAATTAAGAAATAGTTAATCACCTCGAACGCTTGGTCCCAATGTCACAATCTTAGAAGCTTCACCTTCGCCAATGTTAGTGCTAGCGGTCACCCAGAATTCATATCTGCGTTGCTTGTCCAATCCAGATGCTTCATGAGTAAGTTGATTCGGCGGTACTTTCTGGCTAGTAGATTCCTCAGCGTTGTCTGCCTTTGTGTAAACGGTATATTGAGAGATAACTCCGTTAGGTTGGCTGGGCGGGCGCCATGAGATGAGAATAGATTCAGCGGACATAACCAGAGCTTTAATGGCGATCGGAGCTTCGGGTGCTGAAAGTGACAGTAGAAAATGTAGAGTTTATTCGGATAAGTGTATTTTTTCAAAATTAACCCTCGCCTAACGGTGGCCAAGTCATGTGGGACCTAAACACCGAATATTTACTTTATATTTATGTTTGTAACATAAGACGAACAGCGTCAAAGTAGTGTTTCTACAATCAATATACATATATTGTGCAAGATCTCGAAGAGAAAAGACGTGTCCAAAAGTGTTGTATAATTTCTACAGTTTTTATTATCACGATAATAGTACCTTTACCTTTTGCTATCCAAATTATAGATATAATTCCCTTCATCTCTGCACGGAGAAAATTGTAATAAAATATTGTAATTAAAATTACGTTAAAATTATATTTCTTTTTTACAATATTTTTTGTAAAGCTGGACTACAACGATATTACAGCATAAGTTATTAATAGAAATAATAAATAACTAAAAATAAAATAACAAGACATTCGAATAATTGCAATATTGTGTAGCAAAAAACATGCGTAATATTTTTAAATAAATTTGTACCACTGTGTCAGTCATATTTCTTACGGTCCAAGATTATAAAAATTTCTTATAGTTTTCACTATAATATTTTACTTGTATAATCCTATAACACTCGCAGAGAAATAAAAAAATTATTCAACTGCATAAAATGCCAACATGTAAACCTAGTTCGAAATATTGCAAAATCGATACGAATCACGGATTCAGATTTGATCGCCGAGTTGAGAAAATTAAATAGTTTCTTAATTACCGTCTTGTTCGGTTTGGCAATGGATCGGTGCAGACTTGACGCCATCTCCGCCGGAAGTGAAAGCCAAGACTTGCATGCTGTAATTCGTGTACTTCTTCAGGCCGTGCAGAATGGTCTCGCTCGAAGACGTGATCTTGGTGTCCTTCGTGTTCTCGTCATACCACGTGTCGGATGGTCCGTAAATGACCTAAAATAAATATTTAAAGACTCTGCTGCAAAGGGTTTACGCATCCTTCCCGATTCGCGTCTTTACTAACTTTGTAGCCGGTGATAACGCCGTTGGCCGCGCTCAAGGGTGGTGACATCCAAGATACTCGAATAGTCTGAGAGGTTAGGGTCGTGCAGGTGGTGTCGTGAGGTGGTTGTTCGGGTACGCCTTCCGCGGTGTGCTGCTTGCTTTCCTCGCTCAAGGGTCCGGCACCGACCTTGTTGAACGCCTGAATCACTACGCTGTACTGAGTGTAGGTCTTGAGGTTCATTATCTGCAAATGGTGTTCCTTTCCGTCTTCCTTGGCGAACTCAACGGTCTCAAACATGTAAGGCTTGTCCGACGATTGTCTGTGTCCAACGTAGTATCCGCGAATCTCACCGTTCCAGTCCTCACGTGGCGGCGCTTTCCATATTACCTGATGATATTTATGCATTTAAGTTTCAGAACGGTTGTGTAGATAATGATAATTAGTGGCTAACAACTCGCATAGCCGAACCTGCAAAAGCAGATTGTGCATATCTGTATCTGTTTTGTAGATTCGATTAGCAGCTTGTTAGCAGAGATACAACAGAATCTGATGGCAAAATATTTTATGGCAGCAACCGAGTAAAATTTGCTGTTTCAATGTATTTAAATAAATCATATTACAAGTCCTACTCGCTTCCTTCCGACAATCTGCTGTCAAGTTCCGTCGACGGAACAATCTGCTGGCAGACTGCTAACAGATTGCTTACTGAGTATCTATTTTCAATCAGAAAGTAGGAAGGATAAAATATATAAAATCTCAGAAAACTTAAGAAAAAAGGATTTGAACGAATAACTTCGAGGATAATTTTGAGGAATAATTATATCTTACTTTAAAAAATAAACTGTGTCTTTAAACAAATAATTAAAGCAAAATTAATATAATTAACAAATAATTAAGGTAAAATTAAATAAAAAATCAAATTAACAGAGAAAATAAAAACGAATTACATTAGAAAAATTATTAAAAAAATAATAAGATTAAATTATTATCCAATTAGATTAATTATTAAATCAATAATTAGATTAAATTATTAAATAAGAATAATTTAAAACAAAAAATTTATTTTTTCTATTTAATTTAAAAAATTAAATAGAAATAACAAAAAAATAATCTAAGTAAAAAATAACCTAAGCGAGGTAACGATTAGTCTATTGATAACTTTATCACGGGTAACAATTGTTACAGTTCGTCTCGAATTCATTTTTTTCTTTTTATCTATAAATTTTTGATCTGTCAATTTACTACTAATTTGTTGCATTTGATGCGATCCGACTCTCATCATTACCTTGAGAGTGTGCTGATCGAGAGCTTCTACTCTGACAGAGACTGGCGGGCCACTGGGTACTTCCTCAGCAGTGATGATGGTAACAGTGTCGGATGGATCAGACGTGCCAATTTCATTCTCAGCGACGATGCGAAGGTGATAGGTGGTTGCGGGCCTCAGGTTGAACACTCCAGCTACGTTCTGCTGTGAACCAGGTACGAGCACTCTGTCGATGTCAGTTTCCCAGGAACCCTTGCTGATCTTGTACTCAATGACATATCGCTTGATGGGGCTGTTTCCGTCATAAGGTGCGGCCCATGACAATTGCACTGAACGACCGGACTTATCCAAGACCTTGAGACCATACGGGACTTCCGGCACCTCTGTAAAAAAGAATTGTAAGGAATCACACAAATTTAATTATACAAGTTTATGAGTGAATCGCAGTATATTCAGCGACTTTGTACTGCACCGACCTTGTACGATCATGTTGATGCTGGTGTCATCGCTACCGAAGGCATTCGTGGCTACGCAGGTGAACAAGGCAGAGTCGCTCCTCTCGGTTCGTTTGATGCTCAGGTCAGACAGTACTCCATTGGACAAGATTTCTTCGCGGATGGTGTAACGAGGGTCGCTCTTCGTGTCCAGCCTCTTGTTGTTCATGTTCCACAGGATACCAATTGGTTTCTCTCCCTGCGCCTCGCATTGCAGAACAGCTGGTTCGCCACGGCGTGCGGTCTGGTTTCTCAGTTTGATGTCAAATTGAGGAGGAGCTGAAAGAAAGTGACGTTGCGAAAAGAGGAGATAAACGAAACGTGTTGCAAATTGAGGGGAATACGAAAGAGGGCGAGAAGTCCAAGTACCTTGAACCGAGATGAGAATGACAGCGGACAGGCCGGATCCAATGCCGTTGACAGCCTCGCAAAGATAGTAGCCTTCGTTCGTCTTCTGGATGTTATTAATAGAGAGAGTGCCATCTTCTACGCTAATATCAGGATTGCTCAGTTTCAAGTCAGTGTAATCTCCCGGCATATCCCCTACAAGGTAGAACAAACGTAATTAGCGCACGTGAGTAGATTATTCATACGTTACTCGTCGAGCTGCGGCCGTATGCAAATGCACTCACCAGCGGCTCTCTTCCACGTGACCTGAGGCTTAGGGAATCCGTCGGCTTTGCATTCAACTTGTGCGTCAGATCCCTGAGCAAATGCTTTATCGGTGGGTTCCAGAATCCAACGAGGCGGCACTGTTACAGAATAAGCAGATTAGTCGCGACGTACTTTCGCGCTACGCGCAATTTTGCAATATCCGGGAGCCAGTCGCTCTGCCAATTTGAGTCGTCCCGTAAGCTCGTACGAATTCGATTGTCAGTGGTGAAATTAATACACGTAATCGGTCGAGTTAAATTTCTGATCAAAATGAATGAATAATCATTCTCTTGCTTAAGCTCCGTGAAATCCAAACCACTGAGAAAAGAGTCAGTAATGATCAAATAGAGATCCATCATGTGTGTACGTGTATATTCAATTTTTCAAAATTCGAAGTTTCTGTAAGAGCTTCAAGTGAAGTTAATAAGTCTCAAGTCTCAAGCTGATAAAATCGCCGATTGACAGTTGTATCTACAGTATGATTGGAATATTCTTATCACATTGACGAGGACTCGAATTATGGCAGCGAATTTCGTCGCGTGCAGGACAAAATGTGCGACACGCTCCCGCTACTGCCGTGAATACAGTGTAATATGGCATGCAGGATTTTGAAATGATTATGCGGGTATCTAATTTATAAACAAAGAGGGAAAGAGAGAGAGAGAGAGAGAGAGAGAGAGAGAGAGAGAGAGAGAGAGAGAGAGAGAGGATGAGAGAGAGAGGGGCGAAAAAGGAGATGAGAGGAAAGAGAAGAAAGAGAGAAGGGTGATAAGTAAGAGAAAATGAGTGAAAGGGGGAAAAGAAGAGAGAGAAAGAGAAGGGAAAGAAAAGAGAGTGACAGGTGATCAAGCAGAGAGAGAGACAACGTATCTCGCTCAGAAGGAGCCTAGTAACAACGAAACATGCACGAAGCGCTGTCGAATTTGTACTCGAGCACGGTGTGACATGCTGTACCGCGTTTACGAATAATACTTCGATCACGCTTGTCCAATGATAAAAGCATGCATATGAAGTGTCTACTATGCTACAGACGCGTACTACAAAATGAACAAGGCAAGACGTGTGGTGAGGTGATGGGGTGGGGGGGGGGCGAGGAGGGGGCGTGTTGGGGGATAGTCATTCGTGGACTCGGGGCTGGTGAATTTTTATCGAGGGCTATTCTGAGATGTGGTTGGATGGTCGGTCGGTCATCTTTAGAACAAGGACGCGTTTTCAGCGCGATGGGGGTACGGTGAGGTATAAATCGACACTCGAACGTAACGAGAGAGACGAGAAACACGCAACTGTCGCGTGTGAGACCTAAGCAATCCTGCGATCGTGAGGTGAGGTAGCGTTAGGTCGTTCGTGCTTTTCGCCGGAAACGGCGAACGCGCGCATGTGGAGACGCGATCAGAGACTGTCGCGTGTGATTGGGGACGTGGTGTCACGTGGTGGCCAACGTAAAAGGGTCGCAAAGAAGAGAGCGGTCGACGATGACAGCGAGGTTAAACGAGGCGGCGGGCAAAATAAAAAAGTATCGATCTGGCCGAAGCGCTTCGACGGCGAGAGACCACTTCGAACTTGTGAGATGCTCGCTCATTCGCTCGCTTCTGAAAATCGGCGGGGTTGACACAGCGAAGGAGGGAAATTACAGCGGTGAGAAGAGTAGAGAACGTAGACGGAAAGAGAGGCAGATTTGCAGAGACAGAGAGTACAAAAGAAAGTGTGTGGCAAGACATAGAATGGAAGGAAGAGGTTTACGCGCGCGCGCGCGCGCACGCGAGAAAAGTTTACCGCATTGACGGAAGCATTACGCGCTGCGTGACAACGCGCGAATCGCGCGAGCGCCGAACCAACTGAAAAAAGTTCCAGAAAGAAAGCTTTCGCCAACAGGGATCAAAACACACGATCAGCTTCAGCAACGATGAATATATAAATATATAAGATGCAACCAATCAAGCCTGCGCTCAAGTACTCTCGCGGGGTCTGCGCGGGGCCGCTTTTATCGTTCTCATTCCGAAACTTCGCTCAACCATTATTATCATTAATCATTAATTAGCGCCATTCTCAGTGCTCCATTTCTTTACTCTGGACCTAACCGTGGACTCGTAAGGTTGCCTCGTGGATCACCCGGCCCGACGGATTACTAGCGATACACGCGTAACGTCCGCCATGCTCCGGGGTTACCGGCTCGATCAGTAGTATACTCGTCCGTGGGCCGATTTTCCCGACGCTGTATCCCATGAACTGCGACAACGCTTCGCCCTCGTGGTTCCAGGCGATCTCGATCGGGGTGTCACCGACCGGCACCATGCATGCCAATTGGGCGGCCTGCCCGGCATAGATCGGTCGGTCTCCAAAATCGAACGGACTGATCCGTGGCAGGACTGTAACGGAACGGCAGCTACATCCACGATCGTAACGTTCCGCTCCTCGCGATCCTTCGCTCACTCAGACACGAGTGCTTCGGTCGCTCGGTCGTCTATCTCCGTGCGAGACTCGTCTCTCTCTCTCTCTCTCTCTTTTCTGTAATCCGCTGCTTTCTGTCCTGTTCTGTTTTCGAGAGAATCTAGCCTCGCCTCTCTCTCTCTCCACTTTCTTACTCGGCGCGGCGCGCTGTTCACTTCATCGCTGGATCGCGCACGACGCGACAACTCGCAAACGATCTGGCCGATCAACTCAACTAATCACGTGGAATAATCGAGGAGCAACCTATCGACGGATCCTTCGCTGGTGGTACCTGTGTTACCATGCTACCGAGATGAGAGACAGAGGGATGCGGAAAGTGGCAGAATGTATGGCAGAGAGAGTGAGAGACCATCTTTGTTTTGGGTCTGGGGAAAGTACGGGCCTGGGGAGACACGGTTCGTCTCGTAACACCGATACTGCACTCGAGTCGAATGTTCGGAACACGTCTAACCAAGTTGTCGTGGGCGCAAACTCTACGCGCTCGCCTATGTGGACCAGCTAAAAACGACTCGTGATCTCGTGACACAAGGAAGAGACAGCTTTCTATGATAGATAGAGAGAAACAGTGTATGCGTCGAGCAATGCAGACTTCCAGAGAAACACACACATAATCTTTCATAATACTTTCATCACAACAGTCAGGGCAGAACAAGATTGGAGATTTTACGACGTAAACGTAGAAGCGGCAGCAAGGGGATACAGGTCTAACATATCGAACGCTACTTGATAGAGATAAAAATACAGAATATGTGTATATATATATATATATATAAATATAAATATAATATATATAACAAAACTACAACCGAATATAAAAGGGTAAACGTACCATTGCTTTCCGCTCAAATAGTAACACGCATACAAAATGGCGGTACTCTCACTACTCGCGTACGCCCGTTAAACACCATCATCATGCCGCGTTTTCGCTTTTGTGTTAACAGTATCGTTTCTTTTTTTTCTCAATCTTTTTCTGTTTTTTTACTTTTTATTGCTGGATGCTTGTGATCGTGTGTTCGTTTTCTCTGTACCGTTCACTTTCAGATGGGCGCTATGCCTAGCACGGCCCGCTGGATTATCGGCGACGCAAGCATACTCCCCGGCGTGCTCTCCCCTGACAGCGGAGATCGTCAGGGCCGAGACTCTATCCCCCAACGCGGTGATACCCATTCCGTCGCCTACTTCTAAATGGCGGCCCTCGAACAACCACTTGAGCGAAATCGGCGTGTCCCCCTTCACGACCGCGCAATGGACGATTATCAGATCGCCGGAGTTGGCCTCGTCGAACGCGAACGGCTGCAGATGTGGAGCGACTGCCGAGAGATAGAAGACGGGACACATGCTAGAGAGATAACAGGCAACAAGAGAAAGAGACACGCGAGCGAGATCGAATGAACGTCCACCCCGCTAATCAGGGCGGACCCGCCGCGAAATCCGCCGCGATGCGACGCGATGCGACGCGACGCGACGCCGCCAGGCCGGTCGGAGCAAGCGCGGCTAACAATGTAATAGCCTGCTCTCGTGTCTGATCTCGCGTCGCGCCCAAGTGGCGAGGACGCGCGATTTCATCTTTAGCGTTCTCTTGAGCGTTCAGGGCTCGTAAAGCTCGGTAGCGCGATAGATATTTGAGCGGAAATATGTTCAAACGAGTGTCTACAAAGGAGCAAGCGGTTGACCTAGGACGACGACGGATAGGACTCGGGGTTTGCTCGGGGAGTGGAGGGAAGGGGAGAGATTCGCAGGACTGAACGAAATATCGAGAATAGATCCTTGGAGAGGTATCAGGTATGCACCGTTCACAATGAGATCGGCCGAGAGCTCGTGCCTGCCGGCAAGGTTTTCCGCGATACACGTGTACGTTCCAGCATGGGTCGCCTGGACGGATCCTATGCTGAGTATGGCGCCGCGTCCGCCCAGATCCACAATCGAGATTCCAAAGTGCGGCGAAATCGCATGACCGTTTAAGGTCCAACGAAGCGTCAAGGGTGCATCGCCCTCGACCACTGCGCATGGTACCGTTACTACTTGACCCGAGTTAAGCGGCTCCTCGCCGAACGAGAATGGCAATAATTTCGGAATGACTGGAAGAGAAAGAGACAGAGATCAGAAAAGGAGAGAAAGAGTCTGTGCGCGCGTTGAAGCCGCGGGTGGAACAGCGCGCGACATGTCGCAGTCCGCGAGACGAGAAATCGCAGCGCATCCTCCGCGAGACGCAGCCCTCTCGCTCCTCGTTCGCCTCGTTCGCCTCCTCTCTCCTGCGCTTCCTCTTGCTCCCGCTTTACGATTCTGTGTGTTATTGCGTGAATGTGTCGTTCTTGTGCTGTATTTCCGGCGCGAGGTGTATCTCGGTCGACGGACGTAACGAAACCAAGAGAAAGAACGAGCGTGTGTAAACCAAAGGATCGTAAAAGAGAAACGCCTACCTAACCAGTTACTTGACATCGGCTCGACGAGACGGCTAAAGTGACAATGACGGTCTCTAGAGAACACAGACACACGTCACACGTGCTACGAGTATAATATAAAAAAGCGAAGAGACGCAGATCGCAGATCTCCATTGTGCAAAACGTCAAACGAAAGATCGGCTGGGAATGAACGAACCGAATGACGAAAACGAAAAAGACGGACGAAAGACTCGCGGTTAGGGAGGATCGCAAGGACGGACAGGGTGTAAGGCACTTGAGGCGTGAGACAGCTAACGGAAATGCAAATCGCGCTGCCATAGACTTGTACCAGAGGTGTACCATTCACGTCCAAGATGGCTGAATGAGAAGTCGATCCAGCCGCGTTTGAGGCAACGCAGGTGTACTCTCCGGCGTGTCGCGCAGCTACCGACTCAATGGTTAGTTGTTTCACGCGTTTTGTGGAATCGATCACGATCACGTCGCTGTGATAAGACTGTACGGGACGGCCGTCGAAGGTCCATGTGATCTCCAGAGGGGAGTCGCCTTTGGTCACCACACACTGCACCGACACGAGATCTCCGGCGTTAACGGGCTCCTCGCCGAAGGAGATCGGTGCTATCTGCGGGGAGACTGCGACACGAACGACACAAGATAAAATACGAATCGAGGAAAGCAGGGGGCAGGTCTAATCGCTCTCGAGTGTCGAGAGTTTCGCCGAGACAGCGGATGAGAATGACGAATGAGCAGCTTCCCGCCTGATGTTCGTCTGAAAATGGCGTAAGAGGACGAAGGAAACGTGACAGGGAGGAGAAAATTGCAGGCGAAGGTGAAGGACCTTCGAGATCCAAGGATCGATGCTCTCGCCGGCTGGTAAACGGTTTACGATTCGCATCTACCGGGAAGGATTGAGAGAGTGCTGACGGTGACACTACGTCTTAACATGCGACACTTGTCAGTACCGTTAACTGATAAAATGGCGGAACGGCTGACGGACCCGACCAGGTTGCTCGCGACGCAGCTATATTCGCCGGCGTGGCGGGCGGTTACGGATTCAATGATCAGGACGGACGTTTTTTTCCCGCTGTTTGAGACCGTCACGTCCGGATGAGTGAGACGTGTGATCGGCTCGCCATTGAGGCTCCACTGTATCTCGATCGGTAAATCGCCTTTCAAAACACTACACATCGCGGAGACTTGCTCGCCCCAATTGGCCGGTCCTTCGCTGATGGAAAATGGAGCGATTTGCGGGGAGACTAGAAACAATCGCAGAAAAACGATCAGTACACTACACATGTAAACGACGTACGTCTTCCCTTCGGCCTTCGGAAAAGATGGCGTCTACGTTGAGAGCAAACGCGCAGCCCTCGCGCGAGATTGGCTACTCTTCGCCGAGCGACAGATCTCCCTGAATGATCTCAAGCGTATCCCTCGCTGAGTGTTCATCAGTTTTTACGTAATCAGTTGCCAATTATACCTCACGCGACTCGGGACAGAGTTCTACGGGGGGTTACGCGTTATGTATGTCGCAGTGAATCGAGGAAAGGAGAACGGTCGTGTCTAAGTACACGTGCTTGCAAGCAGAGTAACGGAGTCGAGTTGCTCGATCACAAGGAAGCACTTCACTTCATGCAATGCTGTACCGTTCACAGCCAAGATGGAGGAGTAGCTGGTCGCTCCGGCGGCGTTCGAGGCCGTGCAAGTGTACTCCCCGGCGTGTCTCGCGCTCACGGCCTCGATAGTCATTAAACTGACTCGCTTGCTGCTGCTCGATATAGACACGTCCCCGTGATTCTCCCTGGTGATGGGCTCGCCGTTGAGCGCCCACGACAAGTCGATTGGCAGATCGCCCTTCACAATCGTGCAGACCGCCGAGACAGCCTCGCCCCAATTCGCGGGCTCGTCGCTGATCGAGAACGGCGCTATCTGCGGGGCGACTGAAACCGATGTTGCGAGACATGACGAAACCGCCAAGACTCAGACTCGAGCATCTATGTAGCATTATGCACGATGGACGGGGAAAACCGACGCAAACCCTAGCTAGCCTACCGAAGGACACTCGGAGTCTCAGGAGAGAACACGACGGAAAGTAATGTACCGCCGTTTTCGTGAAGCTCACGGAGAGACTTGTACGATTTTCCAGTCTGCAAAAAGTCGAAGTCTTCTGCATATTTCGCCCGAATCGCCACCGTCTACCTTGCAGTTCTCCTATTGACCTCGTCGACCGACGCTCCTGCAATCATTTCCCCTCAGCGACGAACTTTTCGACAAACGATCGCAGAGATGCAAAGACAATGAGAGACTCGGCGAGGGAGAATGTCCGCAATGTCGTTGGCTGCGAGGTAATTTTACGCGCGGTGAGTCGCAGCTGTGGAGCCTCAACATCCCCGCGCGGTCGCCGCGAATATACGATGAAGCTCAGACGACGGAGACATACAGAGACACACGCGCCCTCATCGTCCCCCGTGCTCGACGAAGGGCCAGGGAATGTTGAAAAGATTGTGAGAGTGCGCAGGTGAGGGGCTTGAAGGAGGTGTGATGAAAAGGAGAGACGGGCGTTTTGTCTTCTGCCGGTGGAGATAAAGAACAGCCAAGGCACACGAGACGTGCCGTGTCTACGCTCGACGTATACATGCGCGCGTGTTACCGTTGACGGCTAAAGCGGCCGTATGGCTGGAGGCCCCGGCTTTGTTCGACGCGGTGCAAGTGTACTCGCCGGCGTGTCGGGCCGCGACCGCATCGATCGACAGCACGCTCAGACGCTTGCCCTTCGTGATAGAGAACTGATCGGTACTTTCGGCGGAGATCGGCACGCCGTCGAACGCCCAGGCAATGTCCATCGGGAAGTCCCCCTTCAGAATGGAGCAAGTCGCAGAGATCGCCTCGCCCGAGTTCACCGGCTCGTCGCCGAACGTGAACGGGAAGATCTGCGGAGCAACTGCGAGCGCGGTCGCGCGTCAGAGAGAGATTCTACGGCCAGTGAGGTTCTACGGGGGCCCCTCACGGAGTCGCGGGATCCTCGGCGATTGGTAGCGTATTGGGAGTGTGATTGATTGCGGCGATTAGGATCAGCGGGGGTGTCGTATCGTGAGACTAAGACAATGCGATGATGAGGAGGAGTCTGATGAATTACGTGTCGCAGAGTGATGGGGGTTTTAGGCAAGTGCTGTTACGATGTTTCACTTGACGTGCAGGTGGTGTGTAGGCTTTCCTTGGTAGATAGGTACCATTGACGGCGAGAGTGGTCGAATGGCTGACGTTGCCGGCTCGATTCGTAGCTACGCACGTATACTCGCCCGCATGCCGCGCGGCCACGGATTCGATGCTGAGGGCGCTCATATGCTTGTTTATCTTGGTGATTATGATATCCGAATCGCCCGAATTAATCGCTCTATCGTTAAACTTCCATACGATCGTAACGGGAAAGTCGCCCTTCATAATGGAACACGTTGCCGAAACCATGTCACCCCAATTCGCCGGCCCGTCACTGATCGCGAAAGGCCCTATATGAGGCGCAACTAAAATATCATGACAAAACAAACAGTTAATGGAATTCCACAGGTTCTAGTTCTACATAAGTTTACGTCATCAGCTCTCAGTCTTCTCGCTCTATTGATTTTCGCCGTTTCAGGATTCGATCCTGCCGTGAAAACTCATCTCGACACGCGCATCAGCGACGCGCAGACGCGACGGTGGCAAACGATTATCTGTGAATTCCGCAGCATCTAATTCTAAACGTAAATTAACAATCAACTCGTCGAACACACCTGCTCCGGCTGTATCGCAGGTAACGCAACCCTGCTCGCAGAGATCGTTCTCTTTCGTCGACGGCGCGGCGCACAGTGTTGTGATACAGGAAATTGATGTTCAAAAAGGTCTACAGCATTCAATTTTCAACCGATTGGGACGACTTTTTTTTTTTTTAATGAAGGTGAGAAGATTACCTACAATTCTACCGAGCGATATTTTCGATATCAGGAATCCTAACCAAATCCTTAGTAGACAAAGTGAATAGACAATGAAATATTGATACATTTTCAGAGGATGATGATTTTTTCTACTTCTATCAACGCGCAAATCATTATAATTACCAAACTATGAACCCATGGATTGTAAATCTTTTACTACTCAACTCGTAAACTCCAAACCTCATAACCCTGAACCCTATAACCTTGAGCCTCATAACCCCGAACCTCATAACCCCAAACCCTATAACCCCGAACTTCATAACGCCCGAACCCTATAACCTGGTACTCTATAACCCCCAACCCCATAACTCTAAATCTCATTATGACAAACGCGATAACCTCAAACCCGAAACCCCAAACTTCATATCCCATGGTGTTCGATGTTATGGGGTTGGGGATTATGAAGTTCGGTATTATGGGGTTTGAGATTATGAGGTTCGGGGTTATAAGGCTCGAAGTTATGAGGTTCGGGATTATGAGGTTTGGAGTTTATGAGTTGAGTAGTAAAAAATTTACAATCCATGAATTCATAGTTCGGCAATTATAATTATTTGCGCGTTGATAGAAGTAGAAAAAATTATCATCCTCTGAAAATGTATCAATTTTTCATACTTTGTCTATTAAGGATTTGGTTAGGATTCCTGATATCGAAAATATCGCTTGGTAGAATTGTAGATAATCTTCTCATCTTCATTAAAAAAAAGAAAAATGGTCCCAATCGATTGAAAATTGAATGCTATAGACCTTTTTGAACATCAATTTCCTGTATCACAACACTGTGCGGTGTTTCGTCACGATCGCACCCCTAATAGCGCTGAAATAGAAGAACATGGACGTCGATCGGGACGCTACCCTCTCAACAGCCGCCTCGGACACTCTTTTGCCGTTCTTTTCATATTTCTGCGAGAGAAAGAGAGATTGAAGAATATCGCAAAGGATCCTACGAAGCTGTAACGTTACGATAGCAAACAATTAACCAAATTCCATATCCATCGAATCCTACGTAAAGTAACAATGGACTCCTGATCTCGCGCTGATCTCAAATTATTCTCCCGTCGACAAGGCGTCTCGCGCACGGAGAGAAAGGATGGGGATTAATACGACGACGAACGGAAACAAACGCGTTTCGCTTGAAGGAGAGACAGGATCCTCCGGTTCTCATGAGCCAAACGTGGCCCTGAAAGCCAGAAAAGTCCCGTTTTCTGCAAAAACCAAGACGAACTTAATCCGTCCATCTTCGCTCGAGTTCGGCCGACCTCTCTTCTCCATGCGACGATCGTTCTCCACACACCAGCGAGATGGAAGAATACGAACATCAAGACAATCCCGGCGCGCGTACAGAGACTGCGACTGCTTTCGCGTTTCCGCACGCAAGAGAAAGGGATCGGGAGATATCGTGGGAGTGATAAACCGCTCTGCACATGCACGGCGGGTGGAGGGTGTGAGAAAAGCTACGCGGAACATAAGACGTGAGAAGACGCCGTACCGTTCACGGCCAGTGATGCGGAATAACTCGTTCCACCGGCAACGTTGCTAGCCGTGCAGGTATATTCCCCGGCGTGGCGCGCCGTCACGGCATCGATCGTAAGCAGACTGACGCGCTTGCTGGTACTGACTATCGTAATGTCGGGATGATCCCGAGAAATCGGCTCGCCGTTCAGTGCCCACTCGATCTGGATCGGGTGGTCGCCCTTCAGCACCGTGCAAGTCACGGTGATGGTATCGCCCCAATTCGCCGGTTCCTCACCGATTACGAACGGCATGATCTCGGGCGCAACTACAAACGCATCTTATAATTACAGCCCTGTTCTAGCACGATCGGACCCTCGGCAAACTTCAGACGTGCGATTCCCCGCCGGACCGGACCCGCGAATTGCATCTCGCTAATATCGCGATTCCGAACTCAGGGAAATTTCGACAAACAGCGGAGCCTGCTGGTGTGTTTTCTTTAATTACTACGACATCTCCGTGTCACCTCCGAGTTGAGAGCCGAGAACGCGAGGGAACGTGACGGGACCATACTTGGAGGTGAGTGTATGAATGGTGTCGGTGCCAAGCTACGTGAAAAGGATGACTCATACATGCACCGGGGATTAATAAAAGCTTCGAAGAACGTCGTATTGTGTACCATTGACGGCTAAGGAAGCGGAATAACTCGTCCCACCGGCGGCGTTACTGGCCACGCAAGTGTACTCTCCGGCGTGGCTAGCCGTAACAGCGTCGATCGTGAGCAGGCTGACGCGCTTGCTGGTGGCGATCGTTATATCGGAAAAATCGTGCGAGATCGACTCGCCGTTGAGCGCCCATTCGATCAGTATCGGCTGATCCCCCTTCAAAACCGTGCACGTTGCGGTCACCGTCTCTCCCCAATTCGCCGGCTTCTCACTGAGCACGAAGGGCGCGATCTCCGGGGCAACTACAATGGGACAGAGACACGCGAGCCTACAGCGACGAGCGATCGAGACTCGCGAGGTATCGCGATCGAGACTCGCGCGCGCACGAATCGAATCGGGTACCTCGCACGGGTACGACGCGGACGCAGCGCGTCGTTGCGACTTCACGACACATTAAGAAGACCGCGAATGACCATCGACTACATCGACTACATCGTCGAAGGGACAGTGTAATAGCGGATAATGGGCGATGATGGGACGTAAAGGATCGCAGATGCGTGTAGGGTCAATCTCTCGGGCAAGATGTGTACCGTTCACAGCTAATGTCGCTGAATGACTGGTCGCTCCGGCTTTATTCGAAGCCGAACACGTGTATTCCCCTGCGTGTCTCGCGGCCACGGACTCGATGCTGAGAATACTATTCTTCCGTGTCGTCGCCAGGATATTAATGTCCGAGCGATCTGGCTGAATCGGCTCGCCGTTCAACGCCCACATGATCTCGATCGGTAAGTCACCCTTGAGGATGGCGCACACCACGGAAATGGAATCGCCCCAGTTTGCTGGTTCCTCGGCGATAGTGAACGGGGCGATTTGCGGTGCGACTGCAACGAGTTCTACGTGTTCTCTCTCTCTCTCTCTCTCTCTCTCTCTCTCTCTCTTTCTTTCTCTCTCTCTCTCTCTCTCCCTCTCCCTCTCCCTCTCCCTCTCTCTCCTTCGCTCTCTCTTCTACCTCGTATAAGTCGTCAATATCTTTGACGACACAATCGTGTCGATGGACGCGGTGGGGCAAAATCCGAGAAAAAGTTTGAAGAGGAAGTATATATACAGAAATGTTTGAGGGACGGGCTGGCGAGGGATTGCCGTTGAGCAGTTGTACACTTCTCCTTTTTCGGATACCCGATTTTAGATACGCGCGATTTTCGATCGGGCAGTCAAGGAGGAAGAAAATATGGAAGAAGGTGGGGACGGGCGGGCGATTTCAGCAAGACCGACATCTCTCTTTCTAACGATTATCGTAGGTACCGTTGACTGTCAATTCCGCGGAATAAGTGGTTGCGCCGGCAGCATTAGAGGCAACGCAAGTGTAAGTTCCCGCGTGACTCGGATTCGCAGAATCTATGGACAGCAGGCTGTTCCTCTTGGCGGTCGTCACTGATATTCGATGATTCTCCTCGACGGGCATCCCGTTCAACGCCCAAGTGATCTCCAACGGGGAGTCCCCGTTGACGATCGTGCAAACCGCCGAGACGGAATCGCCCCAGTTCACCGCCTTGTCGGTCATTTCGAAAGGAGCGATGCGCGGTGGCACTGTCGGGGTCACAGAAACGCTACGTCATACGGAACCGGAAGCGGGACAAGTGAAATGACTTGTGCGAGAAGAAGCTCGCGACAATTGTGGGTCGCAAAAACGTCGAAGCGGCTCTTCGGTCCGGCTTTCTCTCACGGTCAGGCCTTGAGACGCAACCTGCTCGATTAGGAAAGCATTTCAATCGAGAGACTCCAGCAAAAGGGATACAATTGACACTTTGCTTGACGTTCCAAGGCATAACTCAACTACTTGACGCGTGACCGATCATCAATTGCATGTCAAAGCTCTGCGGGGGAGGGGGGGAGGCATTTACCATACGCGCGCATCTTTTTCGCTTTCTTTTTTCTCCTGGGTGCCATGAAGCACTAAGAAAAGCATAGCCCGTGTCTCGTGCGTCCAACCAACCACCCAACCGTCAGTGATTCAAACTGAACAAGCGTACCGTTCACCGAAAGAACCGAAGAATGGGTAGCGGTCCCGGCCGTGTTGCTCGCAGTGCACGAGTACTCGCCCGCGTGTCTTGCGGCTACCGATTCGATCGTCAGCGTGCTGGCCCGTTTGCTATTCCTGCTTATCACTATATCGGAATGGTCGTAATTGTGCTCGTCGAATGCGCCATTCGCGTCGATTACGCGGCCGTTAAATGACCATACCACGTCGACAGGTAGGTCGCCTTTTATCACGGCGCACTGAACGCTCGCCATCTCCCCCGCATTGGCCGCTTCGTCACCGAAGGTGAAGGGCGCTATCTGCGGGGCAACTGCAACCGCGAAGGGCACACTCGTCAATCACACGTGGGGGAGCGGTTCCGGAGTGGCCGGCCGAACGCTCGCGGCCAGGTGAAACGGGAAAAGTAGTCGTAATGCAAAATAAGAACCAAGGTGGAGGCGATACATCTGACAAAACAGTTCCTCGGGATTTCCACGGGGAGGATCGAGGAAGAGGGATCGAGGGCGGACGGCGCTAGAATATAAAGGACATCCAACAACAATGTAACGGTTAAGCGATACGGGAACGAAACCGAAGAGAAAAGAAGACAACGGAAGAAATGTAGGCCATCGTTTCGCTGTCTATGCGGAATGGACCTTGTCATTGGCTGTCGTCGTCTTCAACGGCAATCCCGCGATTGCCCTCTTCTAGACTACCTCGCGTCGCGCGAGATCGCCGCCGGAGACGACGGCAGTGAGCTTGTGAGCAGTGATTACTTATAATCGATATATATATATATATATATTACTGCGGAGATATACAAGAAAAATTACAAGAGAATAATGGAAAAGTGTATACAGGTGTATAAGGCAGTAACTTTGACATATACGAGCGCGGTACCGTTCACCGAGAGTACAGCGATGTGACTGTCGGATCCGGCGGCATTGGTCGCAGTGCATTTGTATCTTCCAGCATGCCTCGCCGCTACGCTGTCGATGCTCAAGAAGCTGACCCTCTTATTGGTCACGATATTAACGTCCGGCCGACTCGAGTCGATCGGGATGTCGTCGAACGTCCACGTCAATTTTACGGGGAAGTCGCCCTTGACGATCGTGCAAGAGACCGACAGCATCTCGCCGGAGTTGAGGGGATCGTCGCCGAAGGAAAACTGGAGGATCTGTGGCGCGACTGCGTGAACGAGCACAGACGCCGGCACAGACGGGAGGGTGTAACGACAGAGACACAGAGAACACGTGAGAGCGGATGGAGGGATTTCGTATACTGTGTGTGTGTGTGTGTGTATGTGTGTGTGTGTGTGTGTGAATATATTACGTTTAACGTTCAATTTTCACACACCTTCATCAGCCGACATTATGTACAACATTATGATAAAGAAACGGAAACGAAAGAGTACGACAATGTGTGTTAATGGAATCTTTTAGTGTACAATTAGCGTGTCGGGTAAAATCTAATGTGTCATTAGTATAGATACATGTAAATACGTAGCCAAAAGTAATAACGATAATGAAATTAACGAACGAAATTAACGCGCAAGTAGTAGTGAGTATGTGAGTGAGGCGGAAGAAACGTCGCGCGGTGAGAGAGAGAGCGTGTTAATAACCAGCTACGATAATTGACCGCTCGAACGAGGAAGGCGATGCATGACAGAGAGTAGAGCAGTAAAGACGGACGAGCATTCATTTTTCTCCGGTGGGAGCCGGTTTCATATACCGTTTACAGCAAGATGGGCCGTGTGTGTCGTGGTGCCGACGCGGTTGGACGCAGTACAGGTATAATCGCCGGCGTGTCTGGCCGCGACCGATTCGATCGTTAAGACGCTGTTCTTTCGGTTCGTGCTGGCTACCACCACGTCGGAGTCGCGACTGTCAATCGTGGTCCCGTTAAAAGCCCATGTGATCTCGATGGGCTGATCGCCCTTCGCGACGGAACAGGTGACGGAGACTAGCTCGCCCCAGCTGGCCGGCTCATCCCCAAATGCGAAAGGCAGTATTTGCGGGGCAACTGGAAAGAGCGACTGGGAGAAACGGGGCAAGAAAGAACGAATGTCGGCTCGTGGCGCGATGCGTAACTCTCGGCGACCGAGTCTCGATCATCGACGTCCGTTCGACGGAAGCGTTTGACCGGCCGCGACGACGTGGAGTCGCAGCAGACGAGATTGGTATGGCGGTGGAAAGTGTGCTCGTTTCGTTCGAATCGAGAGATTCCTCGGCGAGGATAATGGATAAACACGACGGATGGGGAAGTAGTTGAGCCAGGTGTGTGTATGTGTTTGTGTGACTATATATATACACAGCGAGTCTATGTCGTGAGACGGGAGCCGTGCGGAGGGGAGGATCAGGGTCGTACCGTTGACGGTCAAAGTTGTCGATCGACTGACGGAACCGGCTAGATTTGATGCGGAGCAAGCATACTCGCCGGCGTGACGCGCCGAGACGCCGTCGATGATGAGGGTACTCAAATGCTTGCTGATTCTGGTGATTGTGATACTCGTATCTTTCGACGTGTCGATCGGCACGCTGTTGAAAGCCCACGATATGTCCATGGGCATGTCGCCCTTCAGGATCGAGCAGGGCACGGACACGGAGTCTCCCCAATTGGCGATCTCGGCATTGAATGCGATCGGCAGTAGCTGCGGTCCGACTAGACGTGCCAGCAAACAAGCATCATTTCGCAGCGACGGCGTTCGCGAGATCGTGGATCACACACACTCTTTCTCTTTCTCTCTCTCTCTCTCTCTCTCTCTCTCTCTCTCTCTCTCTCTCTCTCTTGGTGCCCTTCCAGGGCACCAATGCGGGAAACCGTTTCGCCAATCGTGTTCTACTCGTCGTCTAGCTGTCTATGATGTTCAACGACGTTCCCGTAGGATACCCGCGTGGATAAAGGATTCGATGTAACACTGAGACATAGAGGACGTGACACAAACGAGGGAATAGCCGTAGTGCTGTCTGCGAGAGATCTGTGCAGGGGACGAGACAAGGTGGTGGTAAAACGCAACTGAAGTATGAAAAAGGCTGTGTTCTCTAGGAACAGATCGTAGTCCCGAACCATTGACGGTGAGGATGGTCGAATGGGACGCCGTTCCAGCCGCGTTTTCGGCGGTACAAACGTACTCCCCCGCGTGTTTCGCGGTGATGACCGAGATCATGAGCATGCTAACGCGATCCGCGACCTTCTTCGCGAGTACGCCGGAGGAACCGCCCATCTCTTCTCCGGGATAGCTCCAACGTATGTTCAACGGCAGGTCGCCGCTCGGCACGATACACTGCAGATTCGCGAACTCCCCGGCGTTCATCGGTAGCTTCATGAACGCGAACTCCTGAACGTCGGGCGGCACTGAGGGTGGAGGAACGATGTATGGACGTATATGATTAGGTCGCGTATGTGTGTACCCGCATTTATGCGTCTCTCGCGTCATGCGCCACGCTCGTGGATATCATAGACACAATTGTGTGTAACTGGGTTAGGTCTTTGGTTATTTCACTCGTTGAAATGTCGAAAGTGCATCGAGGTAATAAACAGAGAAATATATCACCCAAAAAAAATAATTTCAGAACAAACGAAATTATCTAAATTTTAGAGGATTTTATTCGCGTATATGGACTCAAGAAGATTCCTCTAAGATTAGGGGGGAAATGTTATAAACAGATTATTTTTAAAGTTAGAAAGATTATATGTTACATGTATAATGCAAGTCTTATTGATTTTAATATAAATTCCCTCTTATACACAAATTATTTAATCTTTTTTTTAAAGGACTATTATTTATTCTTATTGCACTTTATTCTTACTGGTTATACTAGTTAATTTGAAAAAATTATCGATACGTATATAGCAAAAAGTAATTTATATATAGATGTACTTTTGGCTCCAGTTCTACAATATGTAGTCACGAATGAAATGAGATCATCATAATATAAATTTCCAATCAGTTTTGTTATGGACTTCATGGCTACAAAGATGTCCATCATAACCAATTGTATGAAACATAGTTAAAAGAAAGACTATATTATTCAATTTCTTGCAATAAATTATAAATTGTATTTGACCAAATATGAATAAATTATCTTCGTTATATGTTACAGCAACACACATACTCTTTTTAAAAATTCATTCCAAATATTCTAACCCATGAGCACATACTTATTTTTTCGTTCATATCTGAAGGTAGAGCATGACTGAACAAAAGAAGCCAATATTCAAATCAACACATTCCTCTTCATATAAGAGGGAAATTAATTGATATAAGAGGAAATTCTCTTGAAATAAGAGGAAAACAATTAGAATAATATCTAATAAATTTTAGATGAATGGTTCACTTTAATCGCTTTATCGAAAGAGGAATCCTTTTCCTGTAAAAGGCTTCGCTTAGAATAGCTTCGCTTAGATTCTATGGGAAAAATCATTTTACAAATAAAATACTTTTTTTGGATGATTCTTTCGTTCGAATCCCATGTTACTTTTATGAATCCAACTAGTGTTGACGTCGCGAGAGAAAAGGCTAGCGTTTGAATAATTGACAAACGCGCGATACTTTACTTATCAATATCGCGACCGATGGCGACGGCGAGTATTTGTGTATGCGATCGCAAATCTGTGCCTATAACACGCACGGACGCGTGGACGCACTTGGTTGTTACTACACGTGATGGTCGCGCGATGGAGGAAGAGATCTGATTTGAAAAACAAACGCATCAGAGTCCTTACTGACGATTCAGCTCGGCCACCGCCATACCAACTCCTAAACTTTCCACGAATGTGTGTCTTCTGCGCCTCGACGTACGTTCGCTCTACGTTATTAAGAGGTCGTAACGCCGGCAACGGGATCGTCGATGCACGTGTCCGACTGCGTGCCTGTGTCCTACATACAGTCGCACCCTTTAGAATCTATGACACGTTTTCCCTATACGCGCGAAGGACACCCCCGACAACAATTTGCCGACCCCTTCATCTCGGCATCGATATGGGACGGTGCGATAAAACAGGGTTTAGTGGCAGATTTTACGGACACGCTAATCCGCTGCAAAGACAGTAGCTGCAAAGAAATTGGTTCGCTATTCTAGTGATAATATAGTTATCTCGTCGATTAGTCGGCTGGCCGGATGATCGCTGCAAATGTACATGTTCCAACCTCTTGTGGAGAGAATTATCATTAAAAAATCATAAAAGTTTAACAGTTCTGGATATACATATGTTGCTTGATACGCGCTTGATAAAAATATGCCAGGCTCTTTTTGACGACAGAGAGAGAGTAAACTTTCGTTCATTTGAATGCGAATATTCTACATGAAAGTCTCGTCCTATCGTTATAAATAAAAAAATGTTATCGTTATAAAGTTCAATTTTATTCAATATTGTTCAACTATTACTTGACTGTCAAGAATTAATGTTTTCATTTAACTGTGGAACAGTCTGAGTGAAAACAAATACGCGGGAAGAAATTACGCGATAATCGTGAAAAAATGTAGGGAAGCAAAGTGTCGAACTTACCCATGACTTGAACTTCCAGTGTTCCACGTGCGCTGTAACCCTGTGCGTTGCGCGCTACGCAGGTATAGGTCGCCTGGTCGCTCATTCGTTCAACGTTCTCGATGATGAGTGTGCCGTTGGGGAAGACCTTTTGCTTTCTGTTGATCGGTAAGACCCTGGTGTCTCGTTCCCAGACGATGCTCTCGATCGGGTATCCACCGACAGGGCAGGTGACGCGCAGAGTTTCTCCAGCAACGATAGCCTTCTTGTCCATGTGGCGAATGAACGGCAAACCATAGACGTTGAGGCGCGCAGAGTGCTCGGCAGATCCAACCTGTGTGTGCAAAATGTCGCGTTGTATATTTCAAAAAATATTCGAAATGCCACTCTCCGGAGATCTCTCTGCGGAATTAGGAACCTCTATTAGGAGGTTGAATTGGTTCTGGTCCTTAGCAACAGATGGCTTTAGTATTGGGAGTACAAATTAGTTCGGTCCGTTTTTTTGTGTTAAAAGATGTATTTGTTTCAAAACAAAATGAATGAACAGATCAGTTAAAGTATTTTCCATCGCTGGCTACTACTTTCTCCCATTTCTCAGGCAATTTTCGAATTCCATCTCGAAAAAATGACTCGTCTTTTGAGGCGATCCAAATTTGGAGCCAATTTTCGATATCTGCGAAAGAAGTGAACCGGTGACCTGCCAAATCGTGCTGCATCCTTCGGAATAACCAATAATCAGAAGGAGCAATGTCCGGAGAATACAGCGGGTGCGGTAAAATATCCCATTTGAGCGTTTCCAAATATTTTTTTACGACTTTTGCGACATGAGGCCGAGCGTTGTCATGAAGAACACCTTTCAACGTCTCTCGGTTTCAGTTCATAGGGCATCCAATTTCCTTGTTTTTGAATAATTCCCATGTCTCTCAATCGTACGGAAACGGCTTGTTGAGTCACTCCCAATGATTCTGCAAGCTCCTCTTGCGTTTGACTCTGATCTTCTTCGAGTAATGCCTCTAATTCTTTGTCCTCGAATTTTTTTGGCTGTCCAGAGCGAGGCTTGTCTTCGACGCTGAAATCTCCATCCTTGAAACGTCGAAACCATTCCCTACATGATTTATCAGTTGGAGCAGCGTCATTGTAAACTTCAACAAGCATTCGATGGGCTTCAGCTGCATTTTTCTTCCAATCAAAGCAGAAAATTAAAACCTCCCGCAAATGCTGCTTGGTTAACATAAAATTCGACATTTCCAACACTGTAAAAAACAAGGTTTTTGTTTGAAATTCAAAGCGATATAAACTGAATATTATTGGCAGACGTCTAACCTCTCTGAAACCGCCAAAATCGGCAGTCACTATGAACCATTCATAACAGCCGGAGCCATCTTTTGAAAACGGACCGAACTAATCTGTACACCCAATAACAAGTTAATGATTAGTACGAATGCTGAAATCTGACAACACCGAAAAATTTGACATTCCTCTATGACAGATTGCGCACTATTATAACTGATAGCCGTAAAGATTTACCTTTACTTACCCCCCGCCGATGACCTTGACATATTTTATTAAGGACACCTTCCAGAGTATCAATCAAAAAGTTTTAGCCGTCGCTCATTGTTTATTAAAAAGTTATTAACAGAAAAAGTTCTCTGAGTGGAACGTAATTTGCAGCTATTGTGTACATATTCAAGAAGATAAAAATAATGCAACAATTAAGGTTGAATTAGGCTAATTCTTCTCACGGCCGGGGGGCGCAGCCTACCGCCTCTCATTCGAGGAAAAATAAATCAAAATGTTTTAGCCGTCACTTATTGTTTACTAAAGTAGTTTAATGATCAAATTAAAATTTTTTAACACAGTGTACATTTAAATGAAGGAAACATAGTAAAAAGTATATATATACAGAGTGTTCTAAAAAGACATGACAAAAATTTAAGGAGATATTCCTCATACCTGAAGGATGAAAAAATGTTATATGGACATAGGTGTGGAAATGCTTATTTCAGGAGTTATATTGAAAATACTGTTAGCTGTATTACTTACGAGGGTGATAAGTACTTAGCCTACAAAAGAAAAACGAAAATTTTGGAAAAGTGGCGATTTATTTCTCAACATAGTCTCCTTTTAGCTCGATACACTTGACCCAGCGATGCTCCAACTTCTTTAACCCGTCTGAAAAATACGTTTTCTCGAGGTTTGCAAAGTAGCCCTCCGTGGCGGCGATGACCTCCTCATTCGACTCAAATTTCTGCCCGGCGAGTGACTTTTTCAAGTTTGGAAATAAAAAGAAGTCGCACGGGGCCAAATCTGGAGAATACGGTAGATGGGGCAGCAGTTCGTAGCCAAATTCGACCAATTTGACCGATTTGGCGAGGGCGGAGGTGTGAGCCGGTGCGTTGTCATGGTGGAAGAGCACTTTTTTCTTTGCCAAATGGGGCCGTTTTTTCTGCAATTCGGCATCGAATCGGCCCAATAATTCGGCATAGTACAGCCCTGTGACCGTTTTGCCCTTCTCCAGGTAGTCGATGTAGATCACACCTTGTGAATCCCAGAAAACGGTGGCCATCACCTTTCCGGCCGATAGGACAGTCTTCGCCTTCTTCGGAGCACGTTCGCCGGGTGAAGTCCACTGTTTCGACTGTTCCTTGGTCTCTGGTGTGTACCAGTGGATCCATGTTTCGTCGACGGTCACGAAACGACGCAGAAACTCCTTCGGATTGCGCTTAAACAGCGTCAAACACTGCTCTGAAGTGGTCTCACGGTTGCGCTTGTTGTCCGGAGTGAGCAAACGTGGCACCCATCGCGCCGACAGCTTTCTCATGCCCAAAATTTCATGCAGGATATGACCCACGCGGTCTTTTGAGATGCCTACTGTCTCAGCTATCTCGCGCATCTTCAATCGGCGGTCTTCCAATACGAGATAGTGGATTTTTGTCATGTTATCCTCCGTGGTAGCCGTTTTCGGGGCACCTGGGCGTGGCTCATCAAAAACCGACGTGCGACCACGTTGAAACTCGTTAAACCAATTTTTGGCGGTCGCCATCGAAGGAGAAGAGTCACCGTACACAGCATCCAAGCGCTCTTTGATTTCGCTGCGCGATTTCCCTTCCAAAAACAAGAATCGAATCACCGACCGATATTGCTCTTTTTCCATTTTTCTAAAATCTGCAGACACGCCCGCTTCCACACGCGGTCAAAACAAAACTACGAGTCCGATTCGGCTGAAATTTCGACAGTAGCCGTCTACGAGAATGTACTACACGATAGTAAATTCCTCTTGCGATAGTGGCGCCATCGGGCGGTGAGGCTAAGTACTTATCGGACCGCCCTCGTATATAAGGAGAAATTTAGAATTAATTATTGTAAACGACAATCATTTAATTAGGCTTATTTACATTTGGTTTTAATGTGACCTTGACTTAGTTACAATAAATATTGAAAATGTTCGCTATTCGCCTGAATACAAGCAGTGACACGTCGACACATTGATTCACGGACACGTTCAAAAATGCCTGGCGTACAGTGGATTGTCTCGCAACCTGCAGTGATACGATCACGAAAATCTTGAATATCACGCACTGTTGTAGCATGTACGATTGCCTTTAAATGTCCTCACAAATAAAAGTTTATCGGATTGAGATCCGGGGAACGTGGAGGCCACAAAGTAGATCCACCTCTTCCTATCCATAGATCACCGTAAGTTTGATTGAGAAAATCACGACTAATACGGCTGAAATGAGGAGGAGCTTCATCATGCATAAAGTACATGTTTTGTCTAATCATCAACGGAACATTTTCTAACAGAATAGGAAGATGGTTTTCTAAGAAATCTATGTACACAAGCGTTGTAAGATTTGGTGGAAGAAGATAGGGTCTTATTAAATAATCACCGATAATGCCGGCCCATACATTAACAGAAAATTTGTGACGAAATGGAACGATTTTGTATGGATTATTATCTGCCCAGATGTGTTCATTGTGAAAATTAACAATCCCATCTCTAGTAAACTGTGCCTCATCCGTAAACAGCACTGCAGGAATAAAGTTAGGATTGGTATGAACCATTGGCAGAACGTATATTGAGGGAAATCCCTTGGTAATAAAGCTTGAACACGCTGTACGTGGATGTAAAAGTTGCTCATGCAATATATTCCAGACCATGGAGTGAGTAACATATTAGCAGCTATTCTTCTTGTGCTTGTTTCAGCGTCTTGTTCAATTGCATCCAAAATAGCCTGCTTAACATCTGCAGTTCTCGTACTTCTTGGTCTTCCAGAATTGAAAGTTGCTGACTGAAACATTCTGTATTCTCTAAGACGACGATGAATTGCTTCAAATGTCCTTCTGTCTGGACAGCCTCGTAGGATACGAGGGTAGTCCCAGAAGTACCTGATCTGACGTATAGATAGCGGTTGTTGTTTGAAAAGAATGACTATGGTAGAAAGTACCAACCTTATAAAGCTTAAGTTTGAAGTTTGACGACGCTACGTTGTTTAGTATTTGTTTGGCAGTCATCAATAGTGAACGCTCTCAGTGAATTTGTAAACATGGAAAAAATTGGTCATCGTTATGTGATATAATACTTTCATTTGAAAGGCCTCAGTCCAACCAATATCAAAGCGAAGCTAGATTTTACTCCGGGGGAGTTTGCTCTTTCGTTTACAACAGTAAAATATTGGTGGATGGCAGAGTTTAAACGAGGCTGTACGAGCTGCCAAGACGAACATCGCAGTGGTCGACCAAATGAGGTGACCACGCCAGAAATGGTGAAGAAAATCCACAAAATGGTATTGGATGACCGTCGACTGAAAGTGCGCGAGTTAGAAGACATGGTAGGCATTTCAAAAAGTGCTATACATCGCATATTGACTGAAAATTTGGGCATGAGAAAGCTGTGCGCAAGATGGGTGCCGCGATTGGAACAAAAACAGCGTCATGAGGATGTTTCAATCGAGTGTTTGGCGAAGTTTCGCAGCAATAAAGCCGAGTTTTTGCGTCGATTCATAACCATGGATGAAACATGAGTCCATCACTTCGCACCTGAGACGAAGGAACAGTCAAAACAATGGACCAAAGTGGCTTGATGGCTATTTTGAGGAGCTCGACGATTCCCACTATAAACAGGGTATCGAAGCTATTGAACATCTCTGGGAAAAGTGTATTGAGCTAAAAGGAGACTATGTAGAGAAATAAAGATATTTTTTCCCAAATTTTTTGTGTTTTCTTTGTTAGGTCAGGTACTTCTGGGACTACCCTCGTATCTTTGCTGGTATAAACGCTGCGCGTTCAACCTATTACCATCTGCTAAGTCATAAATGAAGTGCATATTTGCAAGTTCCGCATTTGTGTAATTGGCCATGATAAATTTGTACAATAAACCTTGTTTCACGCACGATCTACAGAATTGAACTGAAATGTGATGACAATATTCTACCGATTTCAAAGGCGCAACCACTGCTATTGTCCAGGTGTAAACAAGTAACCATAATATTAAAGGTCAATATTATTCTGATTGGTGTTTACGAATAAGGCACAGTTTACCAGAGATGGACATTTTTGAACGTGTCCGTGAATCAATGCGTCGACGTGTCACTGCTTGTATTCAGGCGAATGGCGAACATTTTCAACATTTATTGTAACTAACTCAAGGTCACATTAAAACCAAATGTAAATAAGCCTAATTAAACGATTGTTGTTTATATGTATATATATATATATATATATGTGTAGAAAAGATGCATTATATGTGTAAAGATGTTTATTGAAAAGTTAACAGAAAAGTATCAAAAAGCACGAAATATGAACCATATATTTTTATATATATTAATTTTCAGAAATATTTTCATTCAACGGATATATTTTAGACATTACATTAAAGAATGTGTTTAAACGAATAGGAAAGTCATACTACTTTTTAAATACAAATTCTGCTAAATAGTGTTCATAATGTTTTTCAATTAATCCATATTTTGGAATTGCTGCTCGCACTTTATGCCACATACGTTCTATATTTTGTGTGTGTACATCAGTTTTTAAATCAACAAAATTAATTTTATGATTTACTATATAATATTGATAATTCATAGTATTTAATGATGAATATGATTTCCAACTGTCACTATAAATCTTAGTTCCAGGCGCTATTTTTTTTGTAATATCTGTTAAGGTTGACGTTGCTCTATCGGGTACAAGGATAACGAAAAAATTACCCCTGTCGCATTCGTAACCGCCAAATATTCATTGACCACGAACAATTCGACCTTTATTATATTTACGTTTTCCAATCTTTGTTTCATCTACTTCAACAATTACATTTGGACCACTTAATTGTTCTTCATTATTTTGTAACCATTGAAACAATAACTGGAAATATATAAAATTAACATTTTATAATAATGCAGCAGTTTTCAAATAACAACAATTTATACTTACTTCTCGACAAAAATTTGTCCAATCGACTATACTGCGTGTTGATATTTATAACTCTTTTTGCAAAAAGGACTGCCGAGGTGGACGAAGAAAAAGTAGGCGATAAACCTACAAGTTTTGATAATATTTAAATTTGAACGGGAGAACCACGATCCATGAAATGCACTTAGAGCAAAATTGCACTTCATTTTTCTGCTCTTTCGGCCACGAATAATTTTATAATAGTTATTTGTACAGTCGAAAATAAATGAAGTTTTTTTTCGTCGCACAAGTAGATGTGTTTTACACCATATTATTTCTCAACGAATTACGTTGTGATTGAATAAATATTCCAATAGCTGATTCTCGTCGTACGTTAAATGTATAAACTCGTGGAGCAACATCTTAACTGTTTCAAGGTTCTCGATATACTGAATATACAAACGAGATTTACTTTGTTTACAAACAGTCGCTTATGGTAAGTTTGAATTATACAACTATACTCAAATACTTCAATAATTCTAGAACTAAAATGTTACTGTACGAGTTTCTATATTTAACATATTGATACGCTTAAATATTGAATACAACATAAATTTTTGGTTGCGTTTGTGTATGACTAATTTATAAATATACTTTTCCTCGAATAGCAGGCGGGGGCCTGCGCCTCCCGCCCGCGAGAAGAACTAATCTAACCCAACCTTAATTGTTACATTATTTTTATCTTCTTGAATATGTACACAATAGCTGCAAATTACGTTCCACTCAGAGAACTTCTTTTGTTAATAACTTTTTAATAAACAATGAGCGACGGCTAAAACCTTTTGATTGATACTCTGGAAAGTGTCCTTGATAAAATATGTCAAGGTCAAGGTCATCGGCAGGGGTAAGTAAGAGTAAATATTTACCCTGATAGTTTCATTGTTTATATGCGTTTGGATGGAAAATGGATCGTATAAAATTGTCTTTTTGACATTCATTACTTTTTTTGTTTGATTTGAAAAAATCGACAACTGAAACTCATGAAATACTTGCAACAACTTATGATGATCAAGCTCCATCGTATTTTAATTGTAAATTTTGGTTTCAACAATTCAAAAGTGGTGATCTCGATTTGAGTGACAAAGAACATATTGGTCAACCAAAAAATTCTAAGATTCTAAATTGCAAGCATTATTGAATGAAAACATCGCTCAAACGGAAAAACAATTGGCTGAACAACTCAACGTCAGTAAATCAACAATTTCTAACCGTCTACGGGCCGTGGGAAAAATTCAAAAGGAAGGCAAAGTGGGTTCCATATGAATTGAGTGAAAGTGCCATTGCAAATCGTTTGAATATCGCCATGTTGTTGTTTGCCAGACAGAAAAAAAGAGTTTTTGTAACTGTATTGTAACTGGAGATGAAAAGTGGATTTATTTTGATAATCCAAAGCGAAAAAAATCATGGATTGATCCAAAACAATTATCAACATCGACCAAAACGGAACATTCACGGTCACAAAGCAATGCTCTGTATTTGGTGGGATATGGAAGATGTGGTGTACTATGAGTTTCTAAAATCGAATGAAATAGTTACGGGGGAGCGATACCAGCAATAATCGAACAAATTAAATGATGAATTGATGCAAGTAAGGCCAGCTATACGCAGCAATAGTCGCAAAGTGATTCTTTTGCACGATAATGCTCGTCCACATGTTGCTTTGTTAAACAAACATTGTTAGAATTCGAATGGAAAATCCTTCTGCATCCAGCGTGCTTTCTAAGCACCGTCTGATTTTATTCCGACCGATGCAACACGCTTTGGCAGATACACACTTCAATAATTACGAGGATGTGGAAAAATGGGTGTCTGATTGGATTGCTTCGAAAGACAGATCGTTCTATCGCCGCGGAATCGCTATGTTGTCAGAAAGATGGAAGAAAGTCGCAGCTAACGACGGAAACATTCTGATTAATGTAAATTTAACCATTTCTTTGAAATAAAGATAAAAAGTTGACAAAATGAAACCAAAATTAATGCAACCTCCTAATATAAGAAATATACCGTACAAGAGGAATAAGGGCAATTAACAAATCACCCTGTAATTCTTTTATCGTTAAGAAATAATTCGCACGATTAATTATCAACTAATTATTAATAACCCTGTAATAATTAATAATGTAATAAATAATTATTAATAATTAATAATCAACTAATTAATAATAATTAAATCATCGTGACGAGCGGATCGATAAAAATAAAAATCTGCTGGTTATTTCTATGAGAATGGTTATTAAAAGGAAGGGACACAGACGGAGGACACCGACCTTTGACGCAGCGATGCATTTGTAGAGTCCACCATCGTTGTTGTGAATGCTCGAAATATTCAGATGCGACACGACATCGCCGTTGACCGTGACATATTGTCCTACTTGCAGTCTATCAGTGTTTGACAGCCGTTTTCCATCGAGTTCCCAGGTGATCTCAGGGGTGGGGTTTCCGCTGGCGACACACTTCAAAAACATGCTCGGTCCAGGCTGGAGGGTCTCTTCGACGAAGGCTTGACGAATCTGCGGGGGCTCGACTGTTGATCGAAGAGACGGGATTATGTAAAATTGACGTCACGATTAATCGGCTTCTCGAAATACGAATAAGCGCGACGGCAGCAATCAACTCACATCTTCCACCAAGTTTCAGCTCAGCGGTTGCTTGTGCGCTTTCCTGATCATTTCTAACGAAGCATTGATACATTCCCTTGTCCTCCTTCTTCACGCTCTCGATTCTCAGCACGCGGTCTTCCAGTCCCAGGGGCTTGCCATCCTTCAGCCAGGAGATGGTCTTGATCGGGTTGCCTTGAACAGCGCAGGTGAAGGTCGCGGGTCTACCAAAGTCGATGGTCTGGGTGCTCGGCTCGATTTCTGCGGTCAACGGCGCCGTGACGGTCAAAACAGTCTCCACGCTCTCGCCGCCGACGGAATTGTTGACGATGCAGAGGTATTTGCCGGAATCCTCGACTCGCGCCTCGCGAATGATCAGAGTGCCGCTAACCTGACGTACACGGTCATCGAGCTGGATGGGCTGGCGCCTAGTCGTGCCTTCGATGTACTTGTACCATCTGCAAACAAGAGATTGAGAACTGTCGACTTCCGCGCTGACGCCGGAACGAGGGAAGCCGCTCGTTCCGTATATCTACATTTTGCTTTTTTCTCGCGTACAAATCAAATTTCATTCGTCGCAAAATGGAACAAGAATCTCGACATGAAAGACAATGAGAAGAAACCATGGGATAATTTTCGCATGAATTTAGCTTTCCTCTTCACAAACTCAATTACAAACGTATACGCAAATTGCTTGATCTCATCCGCAGCAAACCGAAAGGAATCCTTTCTCTACAGGAGAACCTTTGTTTCGTGCAAGCTTTCACCGTAGCGTGTCGCTTCGACGCGAAAGCCTGATCGGCGATGAAAGAGCGAATGAAAGAAGCGGCAATGGAATACGAATTACACGCAGTTTGCTCCATTCTACACTATTATGCCTTATTCTCTATGCGGGGCTTTGGGCGTCTCTGGGCACGGCCTTCCGACTCTTTCACCAATTCGTCGGTTGTCGCGCGTCTCTCACACGAGACTCAATTCCATATAAGAACAAAACCAAAATTCAAGAGAGTAAAACAAGACGCTGCTACATCATAGCCTTTGCGGTCGACAAGCGGTGCAGGCGAGGGTGGCGGGGAAGAGGTAGGCGGGGGCAACAGAAGAACAAAGATTTACGACGGCGACGACGCACAGTCGAAAGCAAAAAAAGAAAATGCGTAAAAAGTATCCGCCGCGTGTCTCGCCGCCAATAACTCCTAAGGGAGATGATGAGGGCCGGCTGAAGCGTGAAAGCAAGTACGAACGGCTCTACTCGATTCGTCGTGGGTGTGCGATCTCGAGGCGAACGATGATCGTCTGCGCGCGACGGCGTTCACGTCGCCGACTAGACTAAGGCGAAGGGACCGGGCGGCAAAAGAAAGGCTAAAATAACCGAGAAAAGAAATGACGCAACCGATGACCAACCGATCGCAGTGACGGAGATTCTCCGACGTTGGAATCAAACGCAGGTGCTAGTGCAGGGTCACTTTTATACCTCGCTAAGCAACAATATCTCACGTAATAATAAGGCGCATTGCAATGTGCAGAAACGTAAGGAAACGTTTCGTCTCGAACATCGACCAGTCAATTTTAGAATTGCAAACGGGCGTGGCCTGCCACGAAGAGCTATGAGATATTGCCGGGTATATATAATCAGAAGTGATGGAAATCGGAAGCGGTCGGGGTCGTGAGAGAAACGGTGATAGAGCGGTGATGGTGGTGATGGTGGTGGTGACAGTGAGAGTAGTGGCGGTGGTGATGGTAGTGGTGGTGGTGGTGGTGAACTGGCGGTACGTTTAATGGCGATAGAGTGCAACTGGACGACAAGACGATTAAGGCTCGATCCTCCGCAGTCACTCACACACACGCGCAACGTACATGGGCAAACGATCCGCGTGTTTTTTTTTACTCTTGTACGAGCGAGAGAGAGAGGGTGGGGAATGAATTAACACGAGCGGATGAACGGAGGCACGAGAAGGTGGCGAGGACTTACCAGCCAGATATTGTGGGACTTATTTGGAGGTGTGCAGGTGTAGGGCAACATTGACCGCCCCTTTGATTGGGTGACACCCTCTCGGACTACCCGGTTCAGCACCGAGGATACCGGGGGAGCAGAGGGCCCGCATCCTTTTCGAGGTCGCGCTTCCGTCACCTATCTCGAGGGTTGCGCCGGGGGGAAGGATCCAGTTGGCACTGAAAACCAACACGTCCGATTGGCCCCGGATCAGGGATACACATTTCGATCGATCTTACTTCGTCGATTAACGCTATCGCTCGACACTCTCGAGTGTAGTTACACTCGGAACTAAAAAAAGACGTCGAGGTCGTCGAGTCGTCACAGAGAAATCAGGAGCGCGTTGGCTCTTTCAATGGTAAACTCCCTTTCCCTACTGGGCTCTGCTCTAACTCTACGCTCTCCTACGGCCGTTTCCTCTCGTTCTCTCCCCTTCTCTTGCTCCTCCTCTTGCGTTTTTTCTCCTCTACACTCTTTCTCTCACGTTCCGCACCGAGAGTCGCACACGGTAACTCTACTTTTTCTTCCCCTCTACGCTGACCGAGACCCGTATTTTGCAACAGTACCCTTTTGCAACCCTGTATCCCTACAATGCGCCCCCTGTTCTTCTCTTCTTCGAATCTTACGAATCTCTGCATCGAATCATACGGTACCGCCACCCGACACGGGGTAGAGGGTAAGGATGGAAAATATCAAAAGTGAATACAGGAACTGTGCCCCGCGGAGCGTGAGACTACGTCCAAATCAGGAGGAACAGATAGAGATCTATACGGAAGTGTGTGTACCTAGTTATCGGGGCAGGAAAGCCTTGTGCCGCACACGCCAGCGCCAGAGACTCGCCCTCTACCCCGCGGTACTTATTAAGACCGTCGCCAGTCCCCTTTGGGGCAGTACGACCGGACGGTTCTGAAACCAACAGATTGCCCAAAGTGAAAGCTTCGTCTCTCCGCGACGTTTCAATTTTGCTTTTACATTTCTTTCTTATTTCCCCGAGACACACCGGTGCGCGATGCTTGAATCTCGGCGACTAAGAGTATGATAATACGTACCCCATATGTCATTGCCGCGTTCGTCCTGGCTCGACTCTAGAATCGTCACATGCAATATACTCACCTGACAATAATGCCAATCACGCCAGATGGAGAACGGGTACGATCAGAAAATCGTGACAGAGGTTTAGAATTGACCACCAATCACTGTGTGACGCTTATATGTCATTGCAGTATGGAAATTATGTACAAGTATCTCAACAATTTTATTACAATAAATATTATTTTCATACTGTAAGTATCGTCAGATATATATGTGTCGTGTAACAAATACTCAGAATAAAATTTTGGATACAAAATTCAAGTCGATTCGTTCGTATCTACCCGTGTACTTTTATTCTCTCCGTCGCTCGTCGACAGCAAAATTCTCGCCACTTGCGTTGCAACTTGATTGGACTCGTCGACGACGACGACGACGACGACGACGACGACGACGAAGAATGAAAACGAATTCGTAGCAAGGCGTGATCTAGAGTCTACCTCGTTACAGGTACAGGATATCCTTGAAGAGAATGACTCAATGCGATGTCTTGACCTCTAGAAGCCAGGACGACCTCCCACCCCTCGAATTTTTTCCCCGATGATCGCGGAGCGATCTTGCTTGTACCCTCTGAAATGGAGCCGTGAAGGAAAGAAAGAAGATAGTTTTGGGCGATTTTTCTCGATATACCTTGTGAATGGGACAGGAAAACCCTGAGTCGCACAATCCAAGGCCGCCGTACCCGTCATTGGTATATCTACTAGCTTGTGACCCTCGTAACGCTCGCCGGCAATGCGTGGCGCAACATTGCCGGTCGGCTCTGTAAGCAGCATCGGTGCAAGAAAACGAGCTGGTATAGTGGAAGTTATATTCTTGCTTCGCTACATTATGCATGTACGCTGCCCAATTTACATCACGCTTTCTTGAACATGAAGTGAAAAAGGAGTCTCTCTTTTTCTCAAATGTGTCACTTCTCCTCTACCCTGATCAAATTTTCCTGCGGTAATTTTGCTATATCGGGGTAAGTCAATTACGACCGCGAACGTCACTGTAACCCCCACCGCGTCATTTTTAATCCCGATTGCGGTTTGTATATCGGCAGTAAACGCCTGTACCTGAATGCGGGAGCTGGGAAACCTTGAACAGGACACGGTAGGCCGACCATCAGTTTGACTAGGATATCCCTCTTCAATCCGTTCACATCCTTGTCTCGTACGTTCGGGCGTACGCTGCCCCGCGGTTCTGCAATAGCGCAAATAGTGGGAAAATGGGGGAACGCGACTCCGTCTTCGTCATCGTCGTCATTGTCGAGTGCACCGGCACATGAAACACGGGTGTCGCGCGAAATGTGAAGATAACGATTGATCACTCTCTTCTTATGAACCACACAAAGTGAACGACAAAGTATCTCTTGAGAATTGCTTAAAAGTTAAAGATTCCTCACGTAATTTTGCTCAAATTTTGCACAATTATAAAATAAGCTTCGAGTTTTGTGCTGAATCGCTCGACCTTGCTCACCTGAACAAAGGCAATGGACTAGCTTGAGCCTCGCAAAGCAATGTTACCGCTTGACCCTGGGTTTTCATCATTCCGTCAAATTTGGATCTAGGCGGCAATCGAGGTGGACTACTTCCAACCGGTTCTAAAAACGAAAAGGGCACGAGGTTCACCAGCTGCGCCGAGGAGTCAATCGATATCTTCACCTTAATGACTGTTGTATGTGATCAGCAAGATGCGCTTTCAATGTTAATTCGAGCGAATCCCTGTGCTTGTCCTAACCTCTCAGAAGAAACTTCATTGAAAATTGCTGTTAAATAAATATTCCTACCAGTTCCTCCTTAAATGGGAGTACTCTGGACGAAAGATGCCTCGTACATCATTAGAGGCAGCGAATAAATTTCACTTGGAACCAGTCTTTCCTTCCGTATATAACTCGTATTCCGTATATAATATCCCAAAGGAGTTCCCATCAACGAGCAACGATCATATCGAGCCTATGTCGGCATACCTGAAGACGGGAAGTGGATTCGCTTGAGCCTGACACAGCATCGCCATGGCGGTTTGCGACGCGATCGAGAGGACAGTTATTTTAGCTGTCGGTGGTACTTTCGGTGCTGCGCCATTTACTGGCTCTAGATACACAAACAGTAGTGCGGTGAAACCAATCGAGATATCCTATATCGATCTCAGCGCGCTTCGTCCGAGCAATCGCGATATTTTTCTTCCCCGAGGAAGACAACACCGCGCGCGCGCGCGAGAGGAGATCTTTACGCAAGAACAATAAAACGAGCGAAGTGACGATGATGATGCTTCGTTACAAACGTCGATAGTAATAATCGTGAGTACCTATAAGCTGGAAGAGGGTGCCCCTGCGCAGGGCACAACATCGTTACAGCTGCTCCAACGACATTTGCGAGAACGTCATATTTAGAAGTGGAAGCGACTCTAGGCTTGGCACCATTTACCGGTTCTACAGAACGATAATGTTACGGAAGCTACAATGTATCGAGTGGGATAGCAACAGCGTCTACCAAAATGTTTAGTGACAAACTATTAATTAAATATATCGATGAACTGACCTAAATGTGGGAGCAGGGAATGCCTGTGCATCGCACAACAAGCTGATTTCGGCGGCGTTCGCCACCTCGAAGGAATCGGATTTCGCCGATTTCGGAAATTTCGGGGACACACGACCTGCTGGCTCTAACGTGTAAACGAAGTTTGTTAATTTTCGCAAAATGACAGATGTTCGCATCAGGACAGAACGCGCCACCGCCGTATTATTTGATTATAATTTAATTTCTTGTTGAAAGTTTATAAATCAAGAATATATAAAACGTCTTATATAATTCTGACTCTTCTGTTTTCATAAACATAATAAATTAGAGGAAACGTACCGAATTGCGCCACTGACTCGAATTACGCCACCTTAGCTTGTTCTATGTGCACAATAAAAGCTTAGCTGAGTAAAAGTTTAAAAATTGTCGGAAAGCAGTCGTGATAGTGTCAAATGGTTCCTCTGAAGTAAGTATACGAAAATATAATGTGATTTGCTGTGAAAAACAATTTCGAAAGCTTATATCAAAAACCTGTCATTTTTTACTGTTTTCGACTGAATATGTTTCTAAATGATTACTAAGTACCATGTACATAAAATCGCCATGGATATATAATAATATGTTTAATTATTTATAAAATTAATAACTATAAATAGTATAGGTAGTAGATAGTAGTATCCCATTAATTAATTGCGAACTTCACAATAGAAAAGTTGCCTATGAATAAATTAAGTTCATTTATTAGCATTTACGATTATGTGATAGGTAAAATTTATAATTAAATTGATATTCTATGAAAATATTATACATTTGTTACAATGTAATGTTCTCACGGATGAATGACATGAAAAAACTTGCACAGCAACGAGAGAATTAACGAATTGCAGAAAAGAAAATGTTGTTTCGAAAGAAGCTGCGTGATGAAGAAAGTAAGGAAAACATTAAACTAATAAAAAAACAAGTTCAAATTAAATTTGAATGCTTAATTTCTCATATAGGTAGTTCAAAGAGTTATTTTTCTGACAAACCAAAGTGTAACATTAATTTATGAAGAATTATATTAAATTAATAAATATGTTTGAATAGATAAGAGGTGTAAAAATTTCATTTTTTTTCATTAAACATATAATTATTTATGTTAAAAACAGATGAGGTAGAATGGCGTCATTTGGTGCATAATCAGTGGCATAAATTGGGACATCCCACAATTTCAGTGGATGTAATTCTGGACATTTGTAGTTCACGCTTAATTCTTTTATACAAATAAATAATCTAATTTATTTCTAATTTGTGTATGTGTTTCTGCTAATTTACAATAATAACTTTTAATAAGATTCATTGTCTTATCTGACACCACTTTACTTTTTAAAAAGTAAACTTTCAAAAATTAGTCTTTGCTTAAACTGACACAATTCGGTACGTTTACTCATACGTTACTTTCTTGTCGTACTTTAGTGTCAAAATAATATACAAGACAATAACAAGATTTATTCACTTGCAAGTAAGATAATTGAAACTAATATCAACCTAAGAAAAACCAACATCCAAAATAATATTGATCTTATCTTCTCATTCTTTTCTTGATAACATAGAAGTTGAAACAAGAGTTTCGCCAGAGCCTGAATGAAACCAACGCAAAAGTGTAATGTCGCATTCCTTAGTCCTAGGAAAAAAGCCGGAAAACCGGGTATACATTTCCAATTATGCAATCCGCGTCCAGTACGCTAACGACATTACCTGTGAGTCGGAGGCGGCGAGGCTTGAGCGGAACAAGTTAGCGCGAGTGACGATTTCGCGGCTCTTACGTAAGTGCTACTTTTCGCGTCGCTTTGAAAGGCGGGCGCCTTCGATCCCACGGGCTCTGAAGCGAAACGAGAAAGCATGCATCTGAATTTCTTGGGACTCCTTTATTATCTCAATTACCTGAACGATGGCACGGGGAACCCCTGAGCGGGACAATGCAAGCTCAACGCATTTCCTGCAGCGCGTATGAACGAGTTGACGCGATCGTCACTCGAGAATTTCGGCCCCTTCGCTCCCATCGGCTCTGCCAATGTAAGAATCGTGCCAAAATATGGGCTGTCGTTCCATTAGAGGACCAGCTAGGACGTCGGCGAATTTTCGCGTTTTCGAATCGCGCTCCGACGAGAATGAAACGAGCCCTCACCACGGCCGTCGCGCAATCATTCCGTCAGCACTCGGTCTCGTTAATGACACGCGAATTGCTGCTGATCGATAAAAGGGCGCGATTACGCTCCAACTACCTGAACACTGGTACCGGGTGACCCTGCGCTTGGCACTGCATCGCGAATCCAAATG